CTTTTAGCTATCTCCTTGACCTTTCTTTAGAATTTTATAGCATAAATTCATAGAAGTGGAATTACTAGGTCAAAGGGTATGCAAATTTCTGAGTGGCATTTTCTGAAATTTTTTCAGTGATGATGGGAGTATAAAGTACCTCTGCAAGCTATTTTGATAATATCTACTGAAATTAAAAATGCACATAGGCTGGCAACCAAGTCTTTAACACAAGGACACTTCCAAACTGTAGCAACCAGAAATACAGGATCAGGATCAGTTTAATATTAAAATTACCAGTCAATGTAATTTACCATATTAATAAAAACAACAAAAAAATCCTTGTGATATAGAGAAAGCATCTGACAAAATCGAACATCTGTTTTTCATAAAAACTCATCTAAGTGGGAACAGAAGGAACTACCTCAACTTGATAAAGGAAATGTATGAAAAAACCTAGAATGAACATCATACTGGATGAGAAGACTGAATGCTTTTCCTCATGATTTGCAATGAGGCAAGAATATCTATTTTCACCACTTCTATTCAGCATTTTACTGGAGGGTCTAGCCAGAGCATTCAAGTAAGAAAAAGAAATCGTAAGTATTCACACTGGTCAGTTTAGCAAGATGGTAGGGTGCAAGATTAACATAAAACAATTGTTTCCTATGTACTAGCAATAGCAATTATATTTTAAAAATACCAAATACAACTGTTTAAGAATATAAAATGTTAGGATAAATCAATAATAGAAAGGACCTCTACTCTGAAAATTGAAAAGAATGGCTGAGGACAGCCTTAAGTAAATGAGATATACCTTATTTATGGATCATAAAACAATGTTGTTAAGCTGGGCACTGTGGTTCATGCCTGTAATCCTAGCTACTTGGAAGGATTAGATTGATAGGTTCATAGTTCGAGGCCAACCCAGGCAAAAAGTTAGCGAGTCCCCCATCTCATCTCATAAAAAACCGGCATAGTGGTGTTTGCCTAACATTCTGGCTACATTGGAAGTGTAAATGGGAGGATTGAAGTTCAGGCCAGCCCAGGCATAAATGTGAGACCCTATTTTAAAAATACCTAAAGCAAAAAGGGCTGGGGGTGTGATGGCACAAGTGGTAGTCTGCCTGCCTAACAAGCCCAAGGCAAGGCCCTGAGTTCAAATCCTAATACCACCAAAACAAAAGGAAAGAAGAAAGGAGCTACCATGCTTTCTTGCTTGCTATTTCTTGCTATGTGATGTCTTATGCCATGTTATGATTATCAAGAAAACCCTCTGAAGCTACACCTGTAATCCTAGCTACTCAGGAGGCAGAGATCAGAAGGACCACAGTTCAAAGCCAGCCCCAGGCAAACAGTTCAAGAGACCCAATCTCAAAAAACCCATCACAAAAAAGGGTTGGTGGAGTGGCTCAAGTGGTAGGGGCATCTGCCTAGCAAGCAGTAAGGCCCTGAGTTCAAACCCCAGTACTGCCAAAAAAACAAACCAAAAATCCTTTGAGAAGATGCTGACACCATGCTCTTAGGTTCCCTAGTCTTAAAAACCATAAGCCACATGAGTTTCTGCTTATAAATTACTCTTACCCACAAATATTTTGTGATAACAAAAGAATGTAGAGTAAGATACTCCTCAAATTCAGTGCAATCCTAGTAATCCCAGCTGGCATTTTTGTAGACATTGACAAACTAATTGTAAGATTCATATGGAAATACAAAGGACCTAGACTAGCCAAAACAACTCTAAATAAGAATTAAGGGCTGGTGGAGTTGCTTATGTGGTAAGAGCACCTCCCTAGCATACATGAGGCCCTGAGATCAAGCCCCAGTGCTGTCAAAAAAAGGTCTAATGGTACCTAATTTCAAGAATTATTGTAAAGCTACAGTGATCAAAACAGTGGTACTGAACTAAGACTGACAACTAGATTAATGGAACAGAATAGAATTCAGAAATAAGCTCCCACATATATGGAAAAGTAATTTTTGACAAAGGCTCAGACACTATAATGAAGGTAGAATAGACTTTCAAAAGACATAGGGCTGTGCTCACTTGGGCAGCACAGATACTAAAATTGGAACAGTACTGAGAAGATTACTATGGTCCCTACACAAGGATGATGTGCAAATTTGTGAAATGTTCCAAAAAAAAAAAGACATAGTTTTGAAACAATTTTATATCCATATTTTAAAAAAATGAATCTGGATCCCTATTTTGGATGGATCTTACCACTTCTCAATAAAAATGAAACTACTGGTAAAACATGGATGAATCTCAATTATGCTGAGTTAAAGAAGCCAGACAATTTAAAAGAGTATATACTGTATAATTCCATTTATATAATACTCCAGAAAATGCAAACTAATCTATAGTGACAATAAGGAGGGGATGGTTGGTGTACGCCAGTGGAAAAGAGAGTACAGAAAGATATTTCAAATGTGCCTGGGACCAGGGTTGTACAGCTCCATGGTACAGTGCTTGTGAAAACTCAAGTGGATAACAACTTTACATAGATCACAAAGTGAATGCAAAACCTAAAACTAAAGCTTCTAAAATAAAATACACAACAACTTTGTGGATCTAAGTGGGGCAAAGATTTCTTAGATACAACACCAAAGCACAATCTATAAAGAAGCAAATTATTAAATAAATTGGACTTCATCACAACTAAAAGTTTGGCTCCTGGACCGGAGGTTTGGCTCCAGCTCTGCTGTGCAAATCCTGAGTTCAAACCCCAGTTCCACCAAAAAAAAAAAATATATATATATATATATATATATATTATTATTATTATTTTATTTTTGTGGCAGTGCTGTGGATCAAACCCAGGGCCTTGAATATGCTAAACAAGCACTATGGTTAAGATACTGTTAAAAGAATGGTGAAATAAGAAACAGGACTGCAGACTGGAAGAAGCTACTTGCAAAGCACATACCAGATAAAGGACTTGTATCCAGAATATATAAAGAACTCTCAAAATTCAACAGCAAAGAACCAATGTACATAAAAACAGACTACAGATTTGACCAAGAAGGTAGGCAGTAAATAATCACATCTTACAAAAGGTGTTCAGGCCAGTGAGCTCAGGCTGGTGACATAGCTTAGTGGTACAGTGCTTGGCTAGCATGTACAAGGCCTGGGGTTCAATCCCCAGCACTGCAGGGGGGAAAAGAAAGGTGCTTGAGGAAACTTGGGGATGATTGATATAATTACTATCTTGATTTCACATGTCAGAATTTATCCAACCATATACTTTATCTGCACTTTATTTTCTATCAGTAGAGCTGTTTAAGAGAGATTTATCATCCAGCACAGAACCATAGTTTGAGGACAACTATTAGTACTGTCTCAACTTGAAAATGACCAAAGCTTGATGTACTTTCTATACAAGAATGAATACAGAATTTTAAAACCTGTTGAAACCACTGTAAGGTGACTAATGCAGAAAGTAGAAAAAGATGGGATGAACCAATTCAAGTTATAATACATATATACGTGGAAATATCATAATGAAATTTCCTGCATAGCTATCTTAAACGAACAAAAATGCCTTTTTTCAAAAATGGAGAAGAGGAAGGTTTAAACAGGTCCAGTCTGGGGTTGGCACCTGTGGGAGGGGGGAGAATATAAGAAAAAGGTGTGGGAGGGTGAATGTAGTGGAAAAATGAAATGTGTTTGAAACTATTCCAGGAAATCAGGGAAGGGTGGGGACATGGAGGAGGTGAATTCAACTATAATATATTGTAATATTTTTAATGTCACAGTGTATTTCCAGTACAACAATAATATAACAATAAAAATAAAGAAAATGACCAAAGCTTTAAAGATTTGTAATTTTTTTCCTTTGGTGGTACTGCGTTTGGTGGACAAATGCAAAACCCTGAGTTTAAACCCCAGTACCTAAAACAAAACAAAACCCAATGATATGTAATTTACACTAGCTAACTCTTGTGAGAACAAGGGCTGTTTCTCAGCCCCCCTGGTATTCAGAGCAATGGAGCTTCTTGCTATGCACATCAGAAATGCCAGTAAGTAGGGAATCAGTAACTATTGTTAGTTGAGTAGCATAACAAAAACTTATTTAGTTGCATAGGTTGCTTAGCTTATGCCTTCTCTTTGCCTTAATATAAAAACCAAAACTCTGGTGTTTGGGGCAAAGTCTAACCTGTGCTGAACAAGACAAAAAAACAGCGTGTTGGCCAGTGAAGCATCCTGGTCCTCTAGGAATTGCTTTGGCTCTGGTACCTTTGACTGTTAGGCTTAGCCCAGCAAACCAACCGGTTTGTTTTTGTTTTTGTTTTTGTTTTATAACCACTCCATAGGGTAGGTATTTCTTCTTCAAAATTCCTCCTCCTAGCCGGGCGCTGGTGACTCACGCCTATAATCCTAGCTACTCAGAAGGCAGAGTCAAGAGCCAGCCTGGACAAATGGTTCGAGAGGCCCTATCTCGAAAAACCATTCACAAAAAAGGGCTGGTGAAGTGGCTCAAAGTGAAGGCCCTGAATTCATACCCCAGTTCCAAGGGCGGGAAAAAAAAAAATTCCTCCTCCAGCTATTAAGTTAAGGTGTTGGAGACCCTGGACTGCCTGGGTCCTTGCAGGTGATCCCGGAAACCAGGGTGTGGAGTCCGGGCGGGTGTCAGGTGCTGTTAACGAGAGGACTGGCCGAGGTCCACCTTAGAGTCCCTTAAGTTTGCGGGTGACGAGCCAGAGGCCTCGGTGGCCCGAGGGGGTCCCCGCCAGCGCACCACTTGGGCCACTGATCCTCAACAGACAAGCGACAGGGCGTGTTTGGAGAAGGAGCTCAGAATTTGGAGTGCGACAGACCCGGGTTCCAACACAGCCCTGCCCCTCGCTGGCCGAGGGCCTCACCCGTGTCGTCGGGGGCCTCGGTTTCGTCATCCGTTCTCCGCCCGGCCGCCAGGCGTCAAGGCGGCGTCGGGGAAGCCCGCGGTGGGGTCGGGGTGGGCGCCGCTCGCCACGTCGCCGGCCCGCGCCCAACGCTCGGCTGGGGCCCCCGCGGCCCAATGCCGGGCATCCGTCCGGGCCTCGGCCTGCTGGCCGTGCTGGCGGCCTGCGCAGCAGTCGCCTTCCTCGCCTACTGCGTCTCCCTCGACCGGAAGCGGCGCGGCGACCCCGCGCTCCGGCGCCGCCTGCGGGACAGTGAGGGCGGCGGCGTGGCGGCCGGCCAGGCCCGGCGGGCCGCGGGGTGGGCGGGCGGAACCGGGCCGGGCCGGGCCGGGACGCCGCGGGCCCACGGAGGCCTGGGCGCCACCAGCCGGCACGTGCCGTGTGTTTGCAGAAAGAAGAGCCGGCCGAGCCCGGCCCAGGCGCGGGGCGCGCAGGTGAAGGGCCGTGGCCGGGAGCTTTCTAGAAGCAGGTGTGGCCTCAGGTGGGACCCACGTGTGCTTGTCACCGTCGTGTGACTAAGGACGAAGGAACGAGGCATAAGAGGAAGGCTGGGGCATAAGAGAGCTGCCATAAAGCAAATATGGTTGGAAATGGCGCTTCCTTTAGGGCACCGGAACCCAGGGCCAACACTGAATTTTTTTTTTTTTTTTTTTTTGCAGTATTGAGGTTTAAACTCAAGGCCTTTGCCTGTTAGGCAGGCGTTCTTGGGCTCAACTCTTTAGTAAGATTTTCTTTTGGGATGGGACTGGGCTTTAACGCTGGGCTTTCCCTTGCAAAGCACTGGAGCCACACCTCCAGTCCATTTTGCTCTCCTTGTTTTGGAGATGGGGCATCACAAACTTTTCCCCAGGCTGGCCTTGAACCGTGATCCTCCTGATCTCTGCCTCCCAAGTAACTAAGATTATAAGTGAGAGCCCTGGCGCCTGGTTCCAGTCAGTTTTAAAGATAACAGTTGCTGTCATCTTGGTGGTTGGCTCAGTTTAACTCAATCTCATAGCCCTAAAGGTGCAGCTGAGAGTTCTTTAGTGTCTTGGGTGAAATTTCAGAAGGATTTAAATCTTAATTTTTAATCTGTCTGGGTTACTTGGTGCCTATTCCAGAGCTTCTTAGGTCTGAGTCCTTGTCCAGGTGTGGCAGAGGTGAACAGTACTGCAGGAAGAATAATCTCCAATACAAGGCAGTGAATAAAGCCAACAAATGTAACAAGAGCTCAGAGGCCAGATGGTTTTTCAGGGTTGAATTATGGAGGGTGTTCAATTTACTTACTGTTTCTTTTTTTAAGAGTCGTGGCTTATCAGCTTCAGCCAGGCTGACACAGCATCTTGAGTCCTCTGAAGGCTCACTCCCTTATGTTTGCAACTGATTGTGCCTTTCACTTAGCTGGGACTCTTGGCAGAGCATGTGCACTTGTCCTCTTCATGTGCCCTGAGCTGCCCTGTTGTATGCTGGACTGGGTCCCCAGAGGCAAGCTAGCAGGTACATAATGTAGTCAGTGTATATATGTAGAACCAGAAAAGAAGAGCATGCTAGAGCACATGCATAGAGGAGAGCATGTGGAAGAACATGCCCTGTGGTGCCTCTTCTGGAAGCATTGCTGCCTGATGAATTGCTAGTGCTCACTAAACATCTACTGAAAGAAACCTGTGGTTACTGATACAAGCATGTTTGCTGATCAAAGCTTAAAAGGTGGCTGGAGAGGCTCCGGGCTTGTCCTCAGCATAGTACCAATGATGGTATCATCTTGTGGCCTTGGTTACCTTCCTGAACCAGGCTGCAGCAAAACAAAGCATTTTTCTAACAGTCACCAACTGCCCTACCAACCCTCCACCATGTCTTTGTCCCTCTCCTTCTGAGGGAGTGAGTATGATAACTTCTTGCCTCCCTTAGTAAAGAGTTATTACTGCCTGAACAGGCACCACAACCAAATGACCAAAATGACCCCATAAGCCAGGGAAATCATGACAGCCAAATCAATAAGCTCTGTTAATAACCCAGGCAAGACAATACTATTGCAACATATAAAAACTACCTTGACTACAGAATTTCTGCTGTGTGTGTTTAGGCTGGTAAAAGTTATTACAAGCATCTCAACTTTACTAAATATACCATGTTTTTTTTTTCCCTAGGTAGGCACTCTACCACTTGAGCCATGCTTCCAGCCCTCTTTTTTTTTTTTTTCTTAGCATTTGAAATTATAACTCCATTTTAGGAGACTGATTTATTATTATTATTTATTATTATAAAGAACAACTACATTGGATTTAGAGACTAGATTCAAGATGTGTTTTTTAAATAAAAACTAATTTTGATCAGTAACTATATGCCTTTCTCTTATTACTCATTGTTAAATATTTTATGATCTTTTAGTTGTGGGATGCAGCAAAGAATGAAAAACTACAAGAACGTTTTTTGCAAGAAGTACGTATGGGAGAACACTGGTTATCTAGAGGTAAGATTGTAAACAATCCTTTATATGTTATTTACAATAATTTAAGAAATATTTAACATATTAGTATTTGTTAAATAACTTAACTAGCTAGATGTGGTAATTTGCTTCAGTTACAGAGAAACTGTCCCAGAATTTTCACTTCATCACACTATCCCTCTCCACTATGTTGGTGTTCAGGTTATGTTGCAGCCTTTCTTAGAAGAAGGCAGATAGGAAACAAACCAAATATGAGAAAGCCTCGCTTGTTTTCATGTAAAATACTTGGTAAATGAATTTTCCATATTACTAGTAATCAGAACTTAAAAATTTAACAGCATTATAAAATTTTTCTTACTTTCTTAGACTATATACATATACATAATATATATATATATATATATACACACACACACACACACACACATATTTTGAGATGGGGTCTTGTTATGTAACCCAGGATGGCTTTGAACTCAGAATCCTTCTGCCTCAGCCTCTCAAATGCTGGGATTACAGGTGTACACTACTACCATACCTGGCTCTTAGAATATTCTTTTTTTTTTTTTTTGTGGTGCTGGGGATTGAACCCAGGGCCTTACACATGCTAGGCAAATGTTCTACCACCGAGCTATATCCCTAGCCCTCTTAGAATATTCTTAATACTTATTTGATTCTAAAATCATTATGAATGATCATTCTTATACTGTTTAATGTAGTGAGGCCTATAGGGATAACTTAACACTTAATGACCTACAAGTATATTTTGAGTTTTAACTCTCAACATAATTTCACATGGGGATTTGAGAAAACGTCTCAATATTGTCAGTTAACATGGTGGTAAGATAGTGTAATTTTTGTATAAATGCTATATATAGTAATTATAATGTCCTTATTCTGGTAATAAGTGCTTCCAGGGAATTTGTTTTGAAACTTCTTGTGTAAGGGATAATTGATGTGTTGGATCATCATTATACTCATTAAATAAAATATATGTATATTTTTTCAAGTTTTGCAAATTCCCTGCATAGCATGGTGTCTCTACCTATTTTTTCCTTCTTCTGTTTTGTTTTTTTTTTTTCAAAAGATTTTGCTTTTTTAACCTGCATGTAAGTGGGTAGTAGCCTCTAGGATGCTGTTATAAAAACAAAGAGGAAGTCAAGATCCTAGACAGCTTATGGGAATGCCCAAGGTTTGTATCCAGTAGCTTAAACCACTATCAAGAAATGAAAGAAAAATTGCAGCCATTCAAAATAATTGCACATTAATCATTATAATTTGAAATATTAATATTTTATGCAATATTTATCTTTGCTTTTAGGTGGTATAATTTTTCACATGGACTGAGAATGCTTATTAATGACAAAATGAAGTTAGAACTGACTTAAGTTATACACCCAGGTGTGACTACAAGAATAGTGAAAATTAAGCTAAGGACCTTCATTTGCACAGGAAGTCTTTTCCAAGGTCTCCTAGCAGCTTTTAAATTCATAATTTCATAAACTTTTTCTTATACAAGAGCCCTCAAATTGTTTAAGATAGGGGGCTCATAAAATCTGGATTCATCTTTAAATATGGATACTTCCTGAATATAGGACTAATTAAAATAGATAAAACCTTTCAACTTTTATGAAATTGGGGTAGGATAAGTGTGGGGAAAGAAATTTTGAATTATAAGTCAAAAAAGAAAATAATATACAATCATACATCATCTGTCTCACTCAATGATGGACTGTATATATGATGGAATATACCATACAGCCTATGTATGTGGAAGGCTATATTATCTGTTTGTGTAAGTAGACTATAATGTTAGTATGACAGAGATGAAATCATTTGGTAATGCATTTCTAAGAACTGAAGTATTTTTCAGAATGTATCCCCAGTATTAAATATACAGACTGCTTACATTTTGTTCCTATTCACTTTATGTTAAGAGATATCATGTGATAGTTTAGATTTAGATATAGATACATTATAAATCTTGGGATGATTAGAACAAAAATTACAAACTTGGGTTTGAATTTTTCCCTCTCTCAAAGATAGCATTTTTCCTACAAACCCCTAAATTGATTAATTAGCTCTGTTATATTCTTCTATATTTTATTTATATGTAGTTCTCAATCTTAGCTGCTTATTCATTAAATCTCCATCAAACCTCCTCACCCCCCAAACCTCTGAGGGTAGGACTCAGACATGACTATTTTTTAAATCAACACTATAAATCCAAGTTGAGAATAAGTATTCTAATATGGTTAATTTTCACTCACTTTTTTGCAGTCTTCAGTTTTCGCTATTCCCCTCTGCCACTAACCTCACTTTTCATTATTTTGCTGTCAGATAGAATATACAGGTTGATTATCTGTTATCCAAAATGCTTTGGGACCATTAGTATATTTGATTTTGGAATATTTGCATATTATACCTAATGATCTTGGAAATGAGACCCAGTCAAAACTTAAAGTTCATTTGTATTTCTTATAGACCATAAACATAGCCTAAAGGTAATTTTACACAAAATTTGGGCTGTGACATACGAGGCCAGATGTGGCGTTTTCTACTTGTGGCCTTATGTTGGTATTCAGAATTTCAGATTTTGGAGTGTTTTGAACTTTCACAATGATGCTCAAACAGTAATGCTACAACCATTTTAGTTGTTAAAATGGTTGTGGGACCAGAGGGCCATTAATATTGAGATAAATTTATTGGTTGGTTAACTGACAAAATCAATTGTTTTTATATTCTATTAATGCCATCAGTCTTAAGAGCAGACACTACTATCTCTTGTTTTTCTTAAAAGTTAGAATATAATCAAAGTAATTTGGCTTAATGTATCACTTCCATAAAGCTGTGATATTGTCAATTTAAAATAAACCTTAGGGCTGGGGCTGTAGCTTAATGGAAGAGTACTTGCCTAACATGTGCAACCCCCTAGGCTTCATCACCAGCACCACAAAAAACACCAAAACAAAAACCTACTGAGATATTACTATAGTGTTTCATGTAAGAAATACCATCTTTATTAATACTCAGCAATAAAATTTATGTTTAAAGTGTAAAACTAGGCATGTAGATAGGGACAAAACCTCAAGAAGGCTTGCTTTGTATGTGTCTAGGTCAGGTCATGTACTTTTCATATGATCATTTATTTCAACCAATAAATAGGAAATTTGTTTCAGTTAATATTATGTTTAAGTATAGGTAGTTCTGCCTGGAAACAGAAAGTGTCAAAATTTCAACACCTATGATTACCAAGTACTGTAAATAGACAGTATGCTCTATTCTCAAGGGTCAAAAACTAGGTTCTTTTCCTAATTCTGGCATTAATTAGTTTTGAAACCTTGATCACTGATGTTTTCTAAAAAGTGAAACGAGAAAATGAAACTGTCATTCCATGTCTTAGCTTACACAGAAATATTAATTTCCACTCTTCATAAATTTTCATTGTTACTTCACAAACCAGTTGCCCTAAAATTCATTTTTAAACTGAACTTAGAAGCTAAAAGTTCATAAATCCCTTTTCTTCTTCTGGATATATAATTCATGTTATACTAAATTTTGTTTTAAGCTGGGCGTGGAAGTCCATGACTATAATCCTAGCACTTGGGAGGCTAAGGCAGGAGCATCTCATGTTCAAGGCAGACCAGCCTGAGCTAAGTGAGACCCTGCCTCAAAAAACCAAAATGTTATTTCAATGCTTTGATAATGCAATCTATTCCTTATCTCCCTATATGCACAAAATGCAGAATGTGAACATTTTTAAGGTAAGTGTGCATTTGCAAACAGTGAGTACATGTACTGTAATTTGCCTCATAAAATTATTTATGCTGCACATTCCCCACTGTGAAGCGCAGCATTTCCCCTCATACTTTACTCTGTATGGGACTTGTCCGAAGTTTTTAGTTTTATATGCTTTTTAATGTTCAGTTTTTCTTGCTTTCTTGGTAGTTTTGAAGAACACTGAAATTTTGCTCAAAACATACTAATCTGTTTCAGGAGAGCATGGAATGGGTGTTGAACATCTCAGCAATGCTCTTTTAGTGTGTGGGCAACCATGGGAGCTTCTGAAGGTTTTCAAACACACACTCCCTCCCAAGGTATTTGACATGCTGTTGCACAGAATTCCTCTTATATGCCAGGTGAGTACATATTTAACGATCCGTGTGAAATATACCTTGTGAAATGTAACAGTCATTCACCACATTTGGGCTGATCAAAGTTTTAAATGAGTAAATATCCTATTTATGTTCCAACTGTAGTGAATTTTTGTTATGAGTGTCTCAACATTTCAACTTTAAAGTAGAATAGTACTTCCATTAGCATGAAGGAAAAAAGATTGAAATGACTAGCAAGGAATTGTTTCATGTATTTACCAGCAATCTGAGGTAGACATGAAAGAACAGGAATACTTGGAAGATGATCCTGATTGAAAATTTTCAGCGTATCCACAGTTCAGTCAGAATACTGTGTTCTGCATAGTATAAACAACTGCTCAGTGATACTTCATTTATTTTACTTTCATTAATAAAATGTTTTTCTGTCATACATGATTGGACACATATTTTGCTTTAAAATTAACAGTCACAAATGAAGAAACAATGGTTTATTTTTCTAATCAAATTGACCAAGCTGCTGCATCTTAAGGCCTCCACAAATGTTGCATCTTACTATTTTCACTGAACAAAGACCTTCTATTTTGTTACCAGTAAACAGGGATTTTGTTTCTCCAGTGGTTTCCATTTACCAAGCAGTCATGACAGATTGTTAAATATGGTGCCTACTGCTTTCAGGGGATTCTATCAGATGAATCCTCATTTCCAGTGCAATGGCTATTTGCAATCTTTCATTGAAAGTCCACCCATCAGGACTCTCTATCGTGGTTGGCCAAGGAGTCCTGCTTTGGCTGCCAGGGCTTCATTCTGCTGAATATGATATTCCTGAAATCTCATTGATATTCTTTGTGTCATTTTTAAGTACTTCTGTAGGCAATGTTCTGAACAGGTGATCTAGAAATAAAAGGGAAATACAACAGGCAACACAAAAATACCAGTTTTTAAAAATGGATATATTTTAAAAGAACCAGTGGAAACTTTTTCTTTGAATATATATTCACATTAAGGGGTAGCAAGTGACCACAGCTTTCAATTGCTGATACTTTCATCCCATTGATGAGAAATAATGAATACTGAATGGCTATGAACAAATGGAGGATCCCAGCTGTCATGAAACTTCTGGACTAGATTTTCTACAGTTAAGTTTCAATATTAAAGCTTACATGCTTATCCCCTTATTTAGATACTGAATTGTACTTCTAGCTGAGTGCTGGTGGCTCACACCTGTTATCCTAGCTACTTGGGAAGCTGAGATCAGGAGGATCATGGTTCAAGGCCAGCCTAGGCAAATAGTTTTTGAGACCCCCATATCCAAAAATTACCACAGCAAAATAGACTAGAGGTAGAGTGCTTGCTTTGAAAGTCCAAAGCCCTGATTTCAATCCCCAGTCACGCAAAAAAACAAACAAAACCCCAAAATACAAAACATCCAAGGCAACTCAAGAGGCAGAGATGGGAGGACTGTGGTTTGAGGTTACCTAGGGCAGAAAAGTTAGTAAGACTCCATCTCAACAAACAAACTGGGCATGGTAGCACATGCCTGTGATCCCAGCTAAGCAGGAGACAGAGGTAGGGAGGATCACAGTCCAAGGGTAACTAAGTATAAATGCCAGACAATATCTGAAAAATAAAGCAAAAAGGCCTGAGGGTGTGGCTCAAGTGGTAGAGTGCTTGCCTGGCAAGCACAAGGCCCTGAGTTCAAAATTAGCAAGTTTGTTCTGTGGTTTTTTTGGGTTTGTTTTTTTTTATTGTTGTTTTGTTTTGTTTTTTGTGGTACTGGAGATTGAACCTAGGGCTTGATGCGTGCCAGTCAAGTGGCCCACCACTTTGGTCTACTACTTGTGCCATGGTTGTAGCCTTTCTGTTTTGTATTTTGTTATAGAGATAGGGTCTCACTAACTTTGCCTCGGTTAGCTTCAAACTCATGATCTTCCCCACTGGGATTACAACTGTGAGTCATTACACTGGCCGGTTTGTTCCTTTTTAATGAGAAACCCCATTTTCAACATTCTTAATCCTCAACATTTTACTGCTCTATTTTGTTTTTGAGACAAGAGCTTGACATGTAGCCCAGGCTGGCCTGGAACTTATGATCCTCTTGCCTCAGCTTCCTGAGTGCTAAGATTACAAGTATGTACACCCCCGCCTTTTATTTATTTTGGGGGGGGGCTGGAGTTTGAACTTAGGTCTTTGTGCTTGCAAAGCAGGTGCCCTCCTACTTGAGTCACACCTTCAGTCCATATTGCTCTGGTTAAAATGGAGTCTGCACCCTGCTACTTTTTACTTTTTTTTCTTTTTTTGGCAGTACTGGGATTTGAATTCAGGGCCTCACATTTGCTAGGCAGGCACTCTACCACCTGAGCCACTCCACTAGCCCTTTTTTGTGTTGGGTATTTTTGAGATACGGTCTCTCAAACTATTTGCCCAGGATGGCTCTGAACCATGATCCTTCAGATCTGAGACTCCCAAGAAGCAGAGACCTTCTTACAGGTGTGAGCCACTGGCGCCCAACTGTTTTTTACTTTTAACAAGAACATCACACGTAGCATCTCTCCTCAGCTTTATCAATTGTTTAACAAGTATTTATTGATTACTGCCCAGACACTAAATTCTCCACATGAATGTTTACTTATTCCACTGGAAAAGTTTATTTCATTTTGAGCAATGATTTGATGAGGATATCAAAAGACTTATAATATGACTGGGTTTCAGAGTTCACCTATGTAATATGAATTACCACATTCAAGCTTTGCTTTTTCCAAAGTCAATCCAGGCTCTTAGGGCCAGAAAAAAAGACTATGTCAAGTTTCTTAGGCAGGCCATCTTGCATGAAAGGTAATTAATAAGAATCTTTGCTGTGGAACAATAACTCAGCTGCCCCAGGCATTTTCTCTAAAAAGGTCTGCCTTGGTACACTCTGATTGTCACATTAAACTTGGCATCATGAACATCAATGCCATAGTTCCTTGGATGCTTCAGTTCCTCCCAGCAATGGCATATAAAGGCAACCCAATTAGTAGGAGCAAATGAAGTAATTAGGGGAATCCTATTGTTTATCACAAACTTGGGAGAATTTTTAGTGAGCCTACACTGTACATACCTCTTCAGGTTTTACTTCTCTTGTTGTGAAGTCTTTAACACAATCCAAAAAGCAGGTTTCGGTAAGTTTGTTGTAGGTTCCAAGGAATTCCTTAAACTACAAATAAATCAGAAAGTTCTTTAATGTTTAGCTTTGCAACAAAGATGATTTGAAACTTTGGTATTTTGTATTTAAACAAAATATCCTGTTACACTTGAACCCCCTTTTTTGGGGGTGGGGGGAGGACAGGATCTTGCTATGCAGCACAGGCTTGCCTGAAACTCAGGATCCTATTGTCTCAGCCTCCTAAGTGCTGGGATTACAGGCATGTACCACTATGTTCAGCTAATATTCATTTTTGGAAATGAAATATGAACATTTATTTTGTGAGATAATTGGCTGACATGATTGCATCCAACAGTGCCTTACATTTTTTTTTTTTCAAAATCCTTTTCCATTAATTATAATACCTTACCTGTTTTATCTGATCAGATTCTGGTATTTGCGCAGCCATATTCTTTTGATACGTTTATTAGTCACCTGATTTAAAAGTTAAAAAAAAAAGTTTGTCAATCTATTAATGAATATGGCTACTTAAGAAGTTAACAAATTATTGTTCATATTTTATAAATTTCTATCTGCATGTATCCCCAGTCTCACAGACTTTAAAAGATAAGAGTTTGGAATTAGATTTTCTAATGCCAGCTATGGAACTCAGAGGCCTTGTCATAACTTAAATCTCCAACTTAAAGAAAGTAGGATTTTAAGCAAAACCAAGAGAACACTAGTGTCTTCCTAACATTTCTTTAGTTAACTATTCTACTGGTTGCTAATTTAATGCTCACCTGTGCTATTAATGATCCTTTCACTGTCCATGTAAATATGAATGTTCTATTAATTGTTAACAAACACTATTCACTAAGTCAATGTTAGCTCATGGAAAATACTCAAGGGTTCGAAAAGAAAGTTAAAGAAGATGTATATTTTGCATTTCAGTGAGAACAATCACAGAAACTTATAAACATGATACTTGTGTAAATTTGGGGCAACAGAGAAGGGAAGACCAGAAGTCAAAAAACCTTTCTAAATTACTAAGGTTCATACAAATCTTTAATATAGGACTTCAGTTAATCCAGATATGAGAATGTGTATTACACTGTTTATTTACTCTGTCATGACTAGTTCTCAAAATGATGAACATTTCACTTAGAAGGTTTGTATAAAATAAAGCTGTTTAAAATAGAAACTAAATAGCATGTAGAAGAACAGGCAAACATTAATCATATACGCTACAGATTAGCATAAATACTATACATATTTATATTGAACTTCTTGATAACTAACACAAAATAGGTAAATTGGATATGCACATCTTTCTTACTAGCTTGTCTATTAAAGTGGCCCTGAAAAGTATGAAATTTTTATGATGCTAATATGGAGTTGAAACTAAATAGAAAATTCAAGTTTAGTGCAAAGTATATGACACCATCATGAAAAACATTAATATTCTCATTTTGATTAAAACATTTAATCAGTGGTAATTCCATTCTACCACTCCCAATGATGCATGTACTTTTCCCCTTTGTGCACTGATTTCTTCCTTCTTTTTTTTTCCTTATCCTATGGTATCTATAACTATTGACATTTTTAAAGTCATATGCAAGGGAAAGCTTCAGTTCTTTTCTATTTGCTATGCTAGTTTCATTTTTTATATTATAGACCACAGTTTTCTTTGAAGTAATGAATTACAAAACACATAATTGAGTACACTTCAGGGGATTTTTGGTTTAGTTGTACCAGTATGTAAACTACACTCTTCTATTAAAACTCCTTTATATCTCAGTTATTGCATGTTAATACAACACAAACAACACAGTAGAGATTTTAGGTTAGCCCACAGTTCAGGCAATTAGCATTCTATAAACACTCCAAAAGTTAGGAATAATGCTCTTTATTTCTATTTAACTTCATAGCTTTATGAATAGTGTATTTTTTTTTTAGGATATAAACTATCAGAAAATACAAGAATTAATTGGTGGTAACCATTTTTCAGATATTGCTGTGATTATCATCACTCATATCCCAGGTAAGATGTTACACACTGGAGTTCCCCTTAGTTCATATAAGTTATAAAATAGATTCCATACTCTCAAACCACTTAACTGCACAGAAATACATATCTTAATATTTAAGCATCTTCTAATACCAATTTCAAAATTATTTATAATTTGAATTCTTAGTTATGTTCTAATTAGTTGGTAGATGTAATAAACTCTGAATGTGCTGAAGACTGTGCTAGCTGTTAAACTAGCCATGTTTCTGAGCCAAGCTGAATCTTTATGGTTGCTATAAAATACCAGTTAGAGAAACAAGATTCTGTTAAGTATCTCATGCAGTGAGGTTGTTATGACATATGTTTCCAGGAAGATGGTATAGACATACTCTATGTACAACTAAAACCCTAAACATCATATGTAAAGCAAAGAAAAGAAAACTCTGAGAGGCAGAGAATAAAGAAGACTGGCTAGGGACCTTGGATCTGAGAAACACAGGGATGAATTCTTCATGTGTGTTTTTGTTCTACCTCATATAGACTTAAAGCTGAAGAAACTGACAACCTGAAATGGGGGCAGTCTCTCTAACCAAAGGACAAAGAGAAGAGCAGCTGCAAGACAAAAAACTTCTAGACAATGACCACTGCACTCCTAGCAAATATCATAGAAAAAAACTGTGGCCCTTATGCTTACCCCTATCAGATTAGGCCAGATGGGGGAGCCTAGACCTCCACCTTCCGTAGGCTGTAGGCTCCAACACTTACACTACAGTGTTAGGGAAAGATGATTAGGGAACAGAGGACTTTCATCCCTGCCAGGGAGTAACAAGACCCCCTGCCATTACCTCCACTAAGTATCAGTAGAAACCACAGAGAGTGTTACTTCTGGCTTCCATCCCAGCTAGCAGTAATGAGGTTTGCATCCCCACCCACACCCTGCTCCATCTCTTCTCTGGGGGATAGTATTAAAGGAGGCTTAGATTCAGGACTTGCATTATGGCTTTATGATAATTAGGCCATATACTCTTCTGTGGTGCCAGTGGAGGTCAAGTCAGGGAGCAATAAGGCACTTCAATTCCAGTCAGGGAAGAAACAAAAGCTTAAAGCTCTCCAAAATTGGCAAAAGATACAAACTTACAAATTCAAGAAACTGGACATACCCCAAACTGCATAAACCTAATGAAATCCACATCAAGATCTACTATTGTCAAACATGTGGAAACTAAAGACAATTTTTGAAAGTACTGAATGAAAAACATCTTACTATAGAGGAAAAACAAATAGGATACAGCAGATTTCTCATCAAAAACTATGGAGGCCATAAGGAAGTGGCACAAAAAATTTTTAAGTGCTAAAAGAACTGGTGCACCTAGAAACTTACTACCTAGTGAAAATACCCTTAAGCAATGAAGGGAAAATCAAGACATTCTCAAGTGAAGGAAAACTAAGAGAATTTGTTGCTCACAGAGCTACCTAAAATAATGGTTAATTTCTTTTTCTTTTATTGGCTGTACTGGGTTTGAACTTAGGGCTTCAGGCTTGCTAGGAAGGTGCTCTACCACTTGAGCCATACCTCAAGCCCTTTTTGCTTTAGTTATTTTAAAGATAGGGTCTTGTTTTTTTGCCCAGGCCAGCCTGGACCATGATCCTCTTATTTTATGCTTCCTGTAGTCACTGTGCTGACAGGCACAAGCCATCATGCCCAGCTTTTTTCTGAGATGGGGTCCCACAAACTTTTTGGCCTGTGCTAGTCTAGAACCTAGATCCTTCATTTCTCGGTCTCCTGCCTAGCTTGGGATGACAGGTGCATACCACTGTATCCAGTTATAAGAACTTTTTGCCTGGGCTGGTCTCAAACCATGATCCCCCGATCTCCGCCTCCTACATAGCTAGAAATATAGAAGTGAACTATCAGTGCCCAGCTTGGTTAACATTTTCAAACTGAAAATAATAAATCAAATCTTGGGATATCAAGGAGGAGGAAAAACAGTAAAAAAAAAAAAAAAAAATATATATATATATATATGTATATGTATATATAAAATACACTTTCATTCTTGAGGTTCCTCATTTATCTATGTCAGCTGTAACAAAAATTATAAGACCCTTGAATGTGGTTCTAATGTAGACAATTAAGGTAATGAGAGGTAAGGTTTCCACATTTCATCCAAATGGTGATATGCTGACACCACTGAATTGTGATAATCTCTCTTTTCTCTCACACATGTAATTACAAGAACAACTTCTAAAAAAGATACATAAGGAGATACATTTAAAAACACTATAGATAAATAAAAATGGGACAGAGGAAGACAGGAAAAAGAAAACAGTGGACAGACAGAAAACAAAAAGTAAAACAAGTTTAAACCCTAACAGGTTGAAAATTATATTAAACACCTAAGTATACCAGTTAGAAGGCTTGGCAAACTGGATTAAAAAACATTATCCTGGCCTGGTGGAGTGGCTCTAGTAGTAGAGCACCTGCCTAGCAATTGTGAGGCCCTGAGTTCAAACCCCAGTACTACAAAAAAAAAAAAAAAATTACCCAGGGTGTAAAAATAAGAAACTTCAAATTTAACAATATAGGCAAGCTAAAAACAAAAGGACTCCAGTACTACCAAAACAAAAACCAACCAAACAACAAAAAAATGATCCATATAGCCCACATATTATTAGACTAAAGAAAAAAGTTATATGATTCTGTCAACTGATGCAAAGAAGTTTGTATTTTTGTTGTTGTTTTCTCCCCCCATTCTCTGAGACAGAGTCTCCCTATGCAATAGCCCCAGCTAGCCTTAAGCTTGTAATCCTTCTGCCTCAGCCTCTTGACTGTTGTGATTACAGAAAAAAAAAAATTGACAAAAACTCAACACCCATTCATAGTAAAAATTCTCAGAAAAACTGGAAAAGCGAGACTTCTTCATGTTGATAAACGCATCTATTAAAAAAAAAAGGAAAAATAAACCTTACAATCTACACTATACATTACGTTGAGAGACAATACTTGCCAGTAAAATTGTGAGCAAGGAAAGACATTCACTCTCACCACTCATCACACTGCTAAAGGTCTCAGGAAACAAAATCATACAAAACTCAATTGCATTTCTACATTCTATCAATGAACATGTGCACACTGAAATTAAAAATATAATACTAATTAGTTATTTCTCCCCAAAAGAAACAATTTAGGAGTAACTCTAACAAAACATGTACAGCATTTGTATGTTGAACACTAAAAAAGTGCTAATAAGAGGTACCAAAGTCCTAAAAAATAAACATACTGTGTTCATAGACTGGGAAACTCAAAATAGTAAAGTCGACTTTCCCAAAACTGATATACAGGCTTAATGTAACTCTTTATAAGACATTAGCAAGATTACTGGTGTATGAAGTCAGGGCCTGTGCTTACCACCTAAGCCATACATCCAGCCCAAGGAGGATAGCCAAAACTTTAAACTGGGTGTGGTTGTTCACACCAATAATCTTAACTACTTGAGTGGCAGAGAATGGGAGAACTAGGATCCAGGCCAGCTTGAGTGAACAGCAAGAACCCCAGCTCAATCAATAAAAATCTGGGTGTGATAGCACCTACCTATCACCCCAGCTACATAGGAAGTGTTAATAGGAGTATAGCAGTCCCAGGCCAGCCCAGGCAGACTACTGATAACCTGACTGGAAGTGTGCTTCAGTGGTACAGTATCTGCCTAGTAAGCAAGAGGCCCTGAATTCAAACCCCAGTACTACCAAAAACAAACAACAAAAGAACTATTAAAATTTTAAGAAAAATACAAGAAAATCTTCAGGCTAGGCAAAATGTTTAGTGGCTAAGCAACAAGTTTTCTTAGACTTGACATTAAAAGCATAATCCTAAGAGGAAAATTTAATAATTGGTCTTTATCAACATTAGAAATGTTCACTTTGTGAAAGATACCACTGAGAGAATAAAAAGATGTGATTCAGACTGGCAAAAAATATTTGCAAACTATGTATCTGACAACTAGTAGGAAGATAAAAGGAACTCTCAGAACTCAATAAAAACACAAACGACCCAACTAGAAAATGGTCAAAAGCCATAAGAAGATCTTTCATCAAGGAGGACATACAGGTGGCAAATAAGTACAGAAGAAGATGTTTAGCATTGTTAGCCATTAGGGTAATATACCTATCAGAATGGCTTTAAAAAAAAAAAAATACCCAAAAAAACACCACCACCAAATTCTGGTGAAGATGCAGAAAACCACAGCACTCTCATACTCTTAGTGGGAATATAAAATGGTACAGTAACTCTGATAAAGAGTTTAAATTGTTCTTAGTTTCTTAAGAATTTAAACATGTAACTAATATATGACCCAAAAATTCCATTCCAAGGTAATTATCCTAGAGAAATTAAACATAGTTTCACACAAAAATCTATGTGATTGTTTCCAGAAGTTTTATTCATAACATTCAAAAATGGAACCAATTCAAATGTTCTTTAGTGGTTATATGGTTCAACTATTACATCTATACCATGGAATACTAATTCAACAATAAAAAGATTAAGGTATTGATACATGCAAAGCCTGGAGAATTATAGTGAGTGAAAAAAAGCCAATCCCAAATGGTTACATACTGTGATTCATACTGTATGTCACAGTTACAGAAATGGAGAACCTATCAGTGGTTGCCAGTGTTATGCAGGAGTGAGGGTAGTTCTGGGTACATAAAGGCAACATGAATGATCTCTGTAATGGAAATGTTCTATTATTTTGACTGTATCAATATCAGTATCCTGGATATGCACTGTACTATAGTTTAATAAGATGTTACTATTGTGGAAAACTCAGTAGAGGGCACAAGGGATCTATTATTTCTTACATATACACGTCAATCTGTAATTTCAAAATTAAAAGTTTCCTGAAGAAAAACATGAGACTGTACAACTTTCTAATTCCTACCATAAAACAAGATATAACATGGCAAATGTTGTCAGCAAGAGTTCCAGATTACAGTTCTTTTGGATTTGCATTCAGAAAACAGTCAGAAAAGATCTAAGAACTGGTAAGATAACTTGTATGGAACTAAGTATTAAGTGAAACCACTGTTTTGTGGCAACTTAAAAAAAACACAAGGTCAGTAAAATGTGTACTAAGGAACTTGGCTTACCAACAGGCTTCTAGCTGAAAGTAGTCCTAAGCCTTCTGAATTGTTGAACTAATTCAATACATTCACTGTATCTCAGGACACAGAAAACTGGACCCTACAGTTAACACCAAAAAAGAAAACAGATCCAATTTCCTTACTTAAAATACCTTGGAAACTGGTTCTTTTTCCTATTCCTTTTCTTTTATCACTCCAGGTTAAAATTCTTACTGACTTTTTTGGTCAGAGGTTAGAGAGGCACGAAGGTATGAAATCTTCAAATGCTCTGTAAATTTCAGAGATTGGTACACTACTGTCTCCATTTTCCCTTCCTTATTATGCAATTCATGCTGACAAATGATGATTGTTTCTTGTTTCTTTCTTTTTTTGGAGACAGGGTTTCATTATGTAACCCAGGCTGGCCTTGAATTTGCAAACCTTCTGCCTCAGCTTCCCTGTGCTGAGTCGGACTAAGGTGGGTACCACCACATCCAGCTGATGGTTGTTATTGATAAGTCTTTGACAAAACATAAATGAGGACCACCCCAAGTGGTGTTGGTATGAACTTCTTCATTTAAAATTATTTTCTGGGTATGGTCTTTTAATATACATTCCTTACGCAGTCTTTAATCTCTTTGTTGAGAATTTGGAAAATAAAAGACAAACAGTTCTAGTACTCAAAGACCACTATGTTAACATTATGATTTATTTTCTTTTCTCTAGAATCCATTATCTATTATATATTTTTTCAAGTATTCCCCAGATCTACAAGTGAACTCAACACCTACTAGTTAGTAATATTCTTAAGTCTGCCTAAATCTCCACAGCTGTTCTCTGTAGTCAAGCATTATTATTGCATGCATACTTGTAGATATCTGTTCCTAGATTGAGTGAATGATTTTTCAGATTTACTTCCTAGTTTTAAGTTCTAGATCGCCATTCATTTTGCAGTTATTTAATCGTAAGTTACGTACACTGACAAAGTTCAGCAGCATACAAACACCTCATAGTGAGAACAGGTAGTAGCATTGTGGGCTATTATTATCCTTTTGTTTGATCCTAGTGTCCAGACTTCTACTTGTTACTGTAGAGGCAAATACCCAATCAGGAGTTACCTTGTGGTTATAGCCCTGAAACCTGGAGATGGAAAGAAGGCTTAGACCTTGGGGAATGATTACAAAAATGCTATTTGTGTGCCAAACAATTTTCTGCAGAACCAGGGTACTTAGGAGTAAAGGAAGATCTTATCAGTCATCAAGTTCAAACCTTTTCTGATGCATGAGTTTCCTTTCTGTTCTGGAAAAGTAGTCGTCCAGCCTTTGTGTAAATGTCTTCAGCCAGGCCTGATTTCTTACCTGAAAAATGAGGGTGTTATTATGACTGCTGAGGCCCCTTCAAGCTGTAATAGTCTTTTTGATGAAATCTGAACTTCTGTTGGTTAATTTTTTTTTTTTGGGGGTACTGGGATTTGTACTCAGGATCTCACATTTGCTAAGCAAGTGCTTTGCCACTTCAGACACTACGCCAGCCCTGAATAAACTTTTTTAAAGTGTTTTTCTTCCTTTTTATTATCAAATTGAATGGCAGATCAGTTTTCCCTTCTTACAGTGCTGGACATCAAACCCAGGGCCTTGGGCATGCTAGGCAAGCACTCTATCCCACTGAGCTACATCCTTAGCCCCATCTAACTTTTTCTTTTGAGGATCCTGGGGTTTGAACTCAGGGCTTTCTGTTTGGTAGGCAGGTGACCAACTGATTGAGCCACACCTCCAGCCCCTCATCTAACTTTTTAATAAAAGTGAAATCAATTTATACATTCTGAGGTTACAGGGTTTTTCTGCATCTGTTTTTAAAAATTACTCAATGTCATGCTATACATTATACTTTTCTTGTTATTCTTCTAATAATCCTGAGAGGGATGGGGAATAGTTCAGAAATACATGAAGTTATTTACATGTATAGTAACTGGAACAACTGGGGCCTATTTAAGGTGTTCAGGCTTTTAAAAATCCAGTATTTTTCCCATTACACCCTAAGACCTATAAAATGTTTCTAGCTATTATTTTTAATATCTACATAAAAATATACATTCCGCCCATTCATTAAACTATGACTATTATCTCTTTGTAACTGTTTTTGAGACAGGGACTTATGTGGCCTGGAACTTGTTATGTAGACCAGGCTGAGCCAGAACTCTCCATCCTTCTCCTCAGCCTCCCAAGTCACAGGTGTCTACCACCATACCTGGCCTATTATTTATTCCCTAATCTACATATTTCCTTTCCTAAATTATTTTAATTTCCTTCTCCGAAAGGAAATCAATTTATCAGAGAACAAAAGAGCTAGGAAAGACCCCTGAAAAAATTTCAACTGACTTATCACACAAGGATAATTTCCAGAATTTTTTGCTTATTGGAAAAAAAAAAAAAACTAAAAAGAATGTGATGGGGAGTTGTACCAACTCTGAAGCCAACTTTTAATTCTATTCTGCTCAAACTTAATTTAAAATAAGTGACTCTTCTGATGTCCTTGGCTACTATCATTGCTCTTGGTCCTTGCACTGCAGAATTGGTATTGTGAGTGGCAATCTTGTGATTCAGGCCAAGATCATGAATGGATAAAACCACTGAGTGTAAATTGTTGGCAAACAGCATACCGTGGGGTACTTATCTCAGACAGAAAACTGTCCCTTTTTGTTGTAAAGATCTGATAGTCACCACTAAAGTGATTAAACCTAGCATCACAAACACTGAATCCAACGTTACACGAGATTCGCTAATATGCATAGCATTACTTATGTGCATTCTTGCCAAAAATGTTCAATCTGACTCCGATCATGAGGAAATCATTAGTATAATCCTGTGTGGGATTATTGAAAACCCACTAGTCTTTTCAAAAATGCCATACAGCAAGGGAATGGAGGTCAGAGTCATGTTAAATGAACACAATACGTGAACCTTGACTGGATCCTGAATCAAAGAAACCTTTCCTTGAAATAAAAGTAAAGACATTTCTGGGGTACCTGGGAAATCCGGAATGTTATTTTAAGTGTAACAATCTTATTGAGGCTATGTAAATAGAATTTCCTTCAGGAGGCACATGCTGAAAAAAATTAGGGTTAAAGTTCATGCCTGCAACTTACTTACAAATGGTTCAGCAAAATAAATTGTAACAATATATGTGTAAGTAGAGAGAATGAGAAAGAAACAGAAAAACATGTTAACAAAAAGTGAATGAAAGAAGAAAAATCTGTGAGCCATGTTTCTTGCTTCAATGCAGTCTTTACCTTTTAAGTGGTCAAATGTCTAAACTGATCTTTACTAACTTGTTTAATATAACTTAACAGGACTCTACCATATGACCCTTCCACTATTTACAGCAAGCAGGTTTAGGAAGTTAGCTATAATCAGGTTTTAAGCTATCTGATAATAACAGATGGCCCTAGTTGATCTTACTCTTAACCAGAGCCAAAAACACTTAAAAGACAGTTCTTACTGGTTTCAGACTGAAAGACTTGCTTCAAGGCACTGGCCTAGAAGCACACTGGGGGATGAGAACATGACTAGTTGGATTTTAACTCAAGCACTGATAGTAAAGGAGTTGTAAGATCAAAATTATTTGTTCAAATTAATTTAATGAATGTCTATGGCCCAACCTTCGAGACTAGAGGGGAAAGTTTTTTGGTTTTTTTTTTTTAACTTTCACATTTAAGTTTTACCTAGAAATTATGGGTCATCTCCAAGGTCTCTTGCAGCTCTGATATTGGTATTCTTTTAAATACACTTACACAACAAATTGTGAACAAACAGATACAATCTAAGAAACCAGTAACGAATGGGAAAACTGTAACGGACATAAAATAATTATTAGTTACAGAAACTCATCAAGATACCAAAAAAAAGAAAAAAAAACAAAAGGGTCTCCAAAGCTGGACTCTTCTAGGAAAGTAGACAGCTGGGATGTAAAATAAAATGTTAGTTTTTACACCTGACTACATTTTTTGCTTTTGACTAATCTATTTTAAAGCCTTAGGCAAGGAATAAAGGGAAAGCTCTAAGTAGAGCGTCTTCCAAAATGAGCGGATCAGGGACCGGGTGTTAGCCCAGGTATTCTGAAACCAGTAAGAGTTTGGAAAGCCAGACAGGATTTTTCTGTTAGAGGGTCTCCGTTCAGTAAGCTCAAGGTCATAGATGGACACTACAGTCTAATACTCTCACTGTTCCAAAACACAACCCGACTCCCAAACCCGAGCTGGATGTGGCTCGGGGCTTCAAGGTCCTAGCCTCGCCTATGACAGGGTCCCCCGCTGGGTTCAAACCCGCCCCGGGACGCGCTGCTGGCCCTGCAGCCCCCCGAACACACGGCGGCTTCCTTGGGAGCCCCTGCCACCTTCTCAAAACGTAGCTTGCTGCCCTTCACCCAACCCGAGATTACGAGGGCAGAGAAAAAGAGGCCATACTTAATTGCAGGCTCCCGCATGAGACACCCGTACGAGGATGAGGGGCTGCGATGTCTATCCAGCCCGGGGCTGACTGTCGGAGTCCGGGCGGGCGCTGCGGCCGCTGGATGGCAGAGAACACGTGGGAGAGATGATGTCAAATAGCTCTTAAACCCCTTGACGCTGATTCGTCATAACGCGGGACAATCTAGGGAGAAAATCCAGTATGACCAGTGAATTCTAAAATCCCCTAAGAGTGAACTTTTGCGGTTGTCTGCTTAGACCACGCTCTGTATTCCTCACTTCCTTTCCTACCATGAACCGAATCTGTCGAAGCCTCTCGGAAGCCTAATTTACTTAATCCCCTATCCCTAACGGTCCGCAGAAGCTACAGTGTAAACAGTCTCCAATAAACACGAGTAGTATTACTCAGATTAGCTCTTCAGTCCTCAGTGAGTCACAAATTTTATCCAATGTTTAAGTCTCGTCGTGCGATGTGCTGTGTTTAAAATAAAATTTTTTTTAAATTCCCTGCTCGTTGAAATGTTTTACGTTGGGAGTTTGTTTCCACCCGGAGAGAGACCGAAGAGCACCAGAAAGCTTTGCAGTTTGGTTGGGCGCTTTTGCTGGCGCGCATGCGTGTTGTGCGTCAAGGGCGGGCTTTCGAGGGAGTGCGTACTGACGAGTGGGCAACTGAAGCTGCGGTGCGAGTAGACCGGCGGCTGCGCGGGGCCGGGTGCTCTGGAGACGCCGGGGACCAGTTAGGGGTCCGGCGTTGCGTCTGAACGCGTGTGTAAGGTTCTGTGGGTGAAGAACGCTGTTAAGCTTTTTATGTGGGTGATATTTTAAAAACAGCATTCGGATTTTACCAGCTTGACTACCTCTTAGCAAATCCTAACCCCGCCTCCACATCTGTTGGCGCCTCCCAGCCCTGTGGATGCGGAGTGCATTGTCAACAGTATTGTCGCTCATCCGTACTTGCACATGCATAGACTCAGTGGGGCTAATGGATAAGTATGACATTCTTGTCGTCTTTAGTCCTGGGTTAAATTCCAAGATTTAAATTTCCGCAGACATTTTAAAAATGTAATGACTACTGCGTCTTTGACAATCACGTTTTATCAAACCATCCCCTTCCCCTCCATTTTTCTACTCCCTTGGTCCTCAGGTGAAAACCCAGAAGAAAAGTCTTCCATTCAGAACTGTGGGACTAATTCTGTGTTAACCAACAAGATGAAACACTCTGAGTTTAGCCCGGAAAAGAACAGAAAGGTTAAAATGCCAGCGAGGAGACTTCGTGAGATCATTTCTCCAAATCTGGGGGATAGTTTGGCTGTGATGAAAGATGAGCTGTCCCGTGTTCCTCCGGCGTTGTCTGCAAATAAACGCCTTCCTGTTCGAATGGGGACTGGCTTAAATGGAACATTACGTGGTATGTGATTCCATATTCTGTACTTTCTCGCCCACTTTTCGTTTTTGTAAATCTTCCGTCCCATTTTTTTCCTGTGTGCTTCAAAATTTAGAGGACTCTTAATGTTTAAATTATCAACCGTAAGTTATAAGTATGGCTTATACAGATTTTTGAAAAGTGACCCTGTTCCCTGGGAAAATAGCCAGGCAGACAGTCTACAAAATGTTTGAATGGATGGAATGAATGAACCTTTAACATTTCCCACTGTGGTTTTTCTTTGGGTAGTTTTTAACTCATCGTTCTGGTTCACATCTAAGATGGACACTCTTAACTTGTTAATGTACTTAATTTTACCAAGGTAGCACTTTTTACTAAATGCTCTACCTTCCTTTTACATAGTGCAATCTAGTTTGGCATAGAAAAGCATAATGAGAGTCAAGTGATGGCTTCTGTATTCCAACTCATTTATCCTGTCTGGAGCTTAGGGCAAATGAAAGTAATGTATGCTTTACTCACTTTACTGTAATTTTACTGGCTATTGTAAGGCTTAAATGAGAGGCTGGGGATGTAGTTCAGTGGTAAAGTGTGTTTACTTGGTATGCACAAGGCTGAGTTTGATCCCCAGCAGTGCAAATACATTTAATTAATGAATGTATGTACAAAAACAACAAAATGCTTTATAGTGCTGCATTCTTGTAAATACAGCAGTGACACTATAGCAGGCCTGCTGTTAAACCAGGGTTTTACGTCATACCCACATTTTGTTCCTGGTAGTTTGTCCACATTGAAAGGAACTCCTGTATTTTAAAACATTTTGTATTTATCTCCCTTAGCTGACTGTAGTGACCCTCCCTCCCCCGAAAATATCAACTGTAAAAACCTCTGGAACATATTTGAGTACATTTTCTCAATTTCTTTGCATGCAAAGTGTCTTCCAATTTGGGTCTTGCAGTTTTTAGTTCTTGAATCATGCATATACACTTTTCTAAGGGTAAGATTCTGATTTAAAAACCACTCATTGATTCCTTTGTTTTCTTAGGTTCATCAGATTTAACTTCTGCTAGAAATTATCACCAGCCTCTGTTAGAAAATCCCACTGTTTCAGAAAGTGTAAGCAAAAGAATTCTTGATCACATTAATCATGTACTGGCAAATAAGGTGTTCTTAAATTATGTTTGATTAGCAACATACATTGTTTTTATTTAGATACTGCATGCAAAGAAGAATGTTTTATATACTATACTTGTGACTTGAATAGTGTTTGAGACATTAAATGTGTGTACTATATTAATCTCATTGACTATATTTTAGAAAGTCATAAGCGGACACCCTTGATCGACTTTCTTTTCTGATTTTTTTCTTTCCCTTTTTTGATTTAGCCAAAACAAAAAAAGAAAAGCTGAAGAGCAACATTAGATGAATATAGTACTATAAAAATGATAGTGTCTTAGCAATGAGTAGAGTCTTAGAGATGAAGTCTAGGATTGTACATAGGATTAGAAAGCTATTTGTCTGTGTCACCTATATGCAGGAGCCTTTTGAGACCACTTATAAGCTCAGTGACTAAGAATGCTATGATTAAGTTGGAATGCTGTGCCATTCATTGACCATCCTTATCTACTCCATTTGACTGAGTTGGATTTTCACTTTTTTTTTGTAGTAAAAGTAATAATAAAGTTTATTAGGTAAGGAATTTAGTATAACAAGATAAAAGTGGGGAGAAAAGAAAAAGGAGAAACATTTCTGCTATTCATGCAGGAAATGGGAGTAAAGACTCCAGATTTTTCACTTTTAACTGAAACAACTGAGCTGTTAAATGATTTGTTCTCCTCAAGCCACAGAAAGTGGCACATTGAGATTTAACTCCACCACATTTGCTTGCTTGTTTATTTACTCATTTATTTGTCTGATAGCACATTACTCACTCATCAAACAAATCCTTAAGTAGTTTCAAGGTACTTAAACATTATGTAGTGCTAGAAACGAAGTATATAAAACAGTCCTGCCCTCCTGGAGCACAGTAGTCACATGGTTAGTAAATGGTACTTGATAAGTGACAGGTAATAAAGCTTATTTAGTCTTTCACTTTTTCCTTTCATATACCAAAGGATTTTTCTAAAGATGTAGTGCAGGGGCTGCCTTTGGATAAAACAGAAGAGAGCAACAAACAAAAAGGTAAAGGAAAAGAATTTGTGTGTGTGTGTGTGTGTGTGTGTGTTTTGTTTATTTTGCTAGTCTTTTTTTTGAAACAAGGTCTGGCTATATAAACCAGGTGGCCCGGAACTCACTATGTAGCCCAGGCTGGCCATCAACTCATGATCCTCTTTCCTCAGCCTTCCAAGTGCTGGTACTAGAGGTGTGCACCACCCCATCCAGCTTTGATTTTTTTTTTTTATTGCGGTAAAATATAGCTGAAGTTTTCCATTTTAACTGTTATTAAATGTGTAGTTCTGTGACATTAAACACATTCACATTGCTGTGCAGCCAACTATCATCACTGTCCTCCTCCAGAACTGTGTCATTGCCCCCAGCTGAACTGTATGCACTCTGACTCCTCATTCCTGCCTCTCTGAATTTCACTATGCCAGATAGCTCATATAAGTGAATTAAATACCATTTGCATGTGACCTTTTGCATTTAGCTTGTTTCACTTAGCAAAATGTCTTTAAAGCTCATCCATATTATAGCATGATCAGTATTTTCTTTCTCAGGGTAGAATTGAATTTTACACATTCATTCAACAGCCTAAAAGATTTTTTGGTGTGTGTGTAAGGGGATCTCACTATGTAGCCCAGGCTGGTTTCAAACTAATTATCCTCTTGCCTTAGCCTCCCCAGTGCTGAGATTACAGTTAATGCCACCATAACAGTATAATAGTTTTATTTATTTATTTTAATTATTATTATAATTTGGTGGGACTGGGGTTTGAACTTAGGGTTTCACAATCACAAAACAGGGACTCTACTGCTTGCACCATACCTCCAGTCCATTTTGCTCTGGTTATTTTGGAGATGGAATCTTGTGAACTGTTCACCTGGGCTGGCCTTGAACCTCGATCCTTCTGATCTCAGCCACCCAAGTACCTAGGATTACAGGTGTGAACCACTGGTGTCTGGCTTATTTATTCTAATTAATTAATTTTTTTGCAGTACTGGGAATCAAACTCAGAGCCTTGCACATGTTAAGCATACACTGTACACTCCTAGCCCCTATTATTTTCATTTTTTAATTAGCTTTTCCTTTCAAATCAAGTTATTAATAGATTCAAAAATCCAGAAAAAAGTTTACAATGGCAAAGCTTAGTTTATTACCAACCTTTTGCATAGGTTTGGTATTTATCTGTCTTTAAATTCTGAATTCAAGTTTTGAATGGTCCTTGGTAAGGTAATAAATTAAAAACGTACTCTGAAAAGCTTTATTTATTGACATATTTAAAAGAAATGTATTTTAATTCTAAGTGGTTTTTCTCTTTAAAGTTTGAATAAATTCTCCAATTTGGTTTTAGGGAGTTTTTTTTTTTTTTTCTTTTTTCTGTTTTTGTGATAAGGTCTCACATATAGCCCAGGCTGGCCTTGAATGCTAGGTCCTCCTGTTTCAGCCACCTGAGTACTGAGATTACAGAAATGTACCCCCACACCTGGGTACAGGTTTTTCTGATGCAATTTTTTTTCTAGTACCCAGGGTTATAATTATTATATAATTTTTTAGGTAACTTGTTGCCTTTCTTTTTAAATTGAGAAATCCTATTACAAAATTCCTAAATATATTCTCACTTCAAAAAAATGGTATTTCTTGAATAGTTCATTAAAATTTTGTAAATTTTTTAGGAATCTTAAATACATTTTTCTGTCTTGATTTTACAGCAAATGACATCTTTATTTCTCAGTACACCATGGGACAGAAAGATGCTCTAAGAGCAGTTTTAAAGCAAAAGTAAGTTTCATTTACAGAAACCAGTTTGATCATGTCTCATATATAAAATCAACTTCCTTTATAGTTTAGACATAGGAAAAATTTTTTGCTGCATGATGTAATGTGTGATGATATATATATAAAGTATCATGATGTGAGCACACATAAAGTGCTCACTTAGGCACTGTGCCATATTGACTCATTTAACCCTCAGAAAATCCTGTGAATGAGATTCTAATACTATCTCAGTTTTACAGAATTCATGTTTTTAGAATTTTTATTTATTTTTTATTAAATAAGGTTAGGCTTGTGTTACAACCTAGAAAAGAAGGAAGTAGTAGTCAGTTGAGTGGAAGAAGGTTAAGAGAAAAATTTTGGAATCAGCTGTGGATGCAGTGTCCTATGTGTATTTAATGAGAGAGCAGTGAGACTCCAGACAGAGGTTGTTTTGCAAAGTAATAGGTACATATAGGAAAGGAAGGGACCAGAGTATTATGGAGTGTGTACAAAGCCAAACAGAGGAAATTAGCTTATTTAGTTATTTATAAAGTACTATCTTAGATTTTTGAATGGTGGAAACATATGTGTGGGATGTTTTTAAGGAAGTAAAAACTGGAAGAATAAAATACATAGTTGGTAAGTATTGGTGAAGTTCTGTAGTAGAGAGGGAGAAATAGGAAAAGTGCTAATCTGAAAGAGATTAGCTCAAGTGTCATGGGAAGATCTCTGGGAATTGGGCCTTAACTCTGCCACATACTCCACATACTAAATCTGTGACTTTGAGCAAATAAATCCACTTACCTCTATGGAGCTCAGTTTTCTTCATGCAGAATTAGGAAATAACGATAGATGACCTGGAAGAGTCCTACCTCCATAGTTCTATGACACTCTTTATGCAATTGTGATGAAATAATTGACAAAACTTGATGAGTCACTTGGGTATGAGAAGGTAAGCAGATAGAGAAGTCAAGGTAACTTCAAAATTTTGAGGCTCATAGAGAAAAACAATGCTCTTAGAAAAAATGGGGCATTACCAGAGAGTAAGTTTAAGAGTTCTGTGTTGTCTTTAAAAAGCCTAGCAGCTGGAGATAGAATGTATTACTGCTGATTTTGTTTGGACTTACCTAGGGACTTTCCTGTTTTGTCAGTGTTCATTTTATTGTTTTCTCTGAGGCCAAATACAGAGCGAAGCTGGACTCACTTTTAATCCAGGCCTCTTAATAGTGTCTTTGGTGCCCATTTAAATGAACTGGGTAACATTTATTCACTAAATCTAAATGAACTAGAATGTAGAAAATTCAGCACTTTCAATAATCCCTCTTGGAGTCTTTGTCTAAGTAAAACAAGCGTGGCACAGAAAGACAATTATCAGGTAAGGGTGGGGAGGCGGGGGAGGGGGGAGGTGGCTCAAACAATGTATGCCATGTAAGTAATGTAAAATGATAAATAAAGAAGAGAAAAAAGAAAGACAATTATCACATAATTTCATTTAATGTGAGTCTGAAGAAGTCTAATTCACAGAAGTAGAGTAGATTGGTGATTGCCAGGGTAGAGAGTAGGAGGAATTGAGAGAGTTCCCTTAATTGCTAAGAGAGTAAATCTTATATAATTTTTTTGTCAACTGTACTTCAGAAGCTGGAGAAAAAAATGGTAGTCAAAGTGTACATTAATAATATTATAATTTTTCCCAGTGAATTGTGTGTGTGCTGGGACTGATCAGGGGGCCTTATGCACTCATTCTTAAGCAGAGACTCTAACATTGAACTATACCTGTGACCTCAGTTTTTTTTTAAAGCGGTATGTCCTTAATGCATAAACCCTTTTAATGATATTAATATTCTTGATTGCACAGATATTATTCATATGAACTATAATCAGTGTTTCAAATTCAAAGAACAGCAGAAGGAAATATTTTAAGATCTTATCTCTTTATGACCTCTAGTTTTATAATTCTTCTAAAATTTGCTGAATAAAATTATCAGTGCTTTAAAAAAAACAGCAATTACTCTGCATTTGGGAATAAAAATTTGGTATTTTTGAATTTTTAGAACTTCTGTTTGCTTTAAATTTGTACTTCTTGATTATATATCTGTATAATTCTTTTTCATATAAATAAATCTTATTTTCCAAAATAATATCATGTCCTTCAAAGAATTATTTTCTTATTTTTTTAGCCTTCAGTGACCTGAACCTTAATAAATTTTATTAACTACATGATTATATTTTATAGGTGATTTAGTTTTTTTAAAAAATCAAGAAAACCACCTTCAGCAGATTACCACTTGGCATTTTTTTGAAATGGTTCAATGTAGCTTACTGAATATATTTTTGTTCCTGTTTTATTTATAGAGCTCAAAGCATGCCCGTTTGTAAGGAAGTAAAAGTACATCTTTTAGAAGACACAGGGACAGAAAAGGATGCTGTTCCTCAGGAGGCTAGACCTTCACCCAGTGGAATTGATTCAGCTACAACTGTGGCTGCAGCAACTGCTGCTGCCATTGCAACAGCAGCTCCACTGATAAAGGTGTTTTTTTTCCATAGATGTTCTTGATGCATTTTGTGAAATATAAAAATATCCATGAAGAACTGATTCTATAAGTGCTTGTGTACTATTGATTGTAAACTGTGGATCTTCTAGTTGCTATCAATGGGAAAGAATTTTCCTATTTGCAGTTGTGTAAATTTCTCAGGAGTTAGGAAAATTTCCTTCTCAACACTGATGGTACTAGTAAATTTAGAACTTTCCTACTTGTAGCAGTGGAAGTCTCACATCCTAGGAAACCCAGAGTCCTGAGCAACCTGAATGTTTTATTGGTCATCCTTTGGGGATCAAAACCAGGTCCTTGGTCTTGCTAGGCAAAGTGCTCTACCTCTGTGCTCCCAGCCCACAATCCTCCTTATTTGACAGCTACAGAGAGCCTTAGGTAGATGGAAACAGAAACAGGTCAAGGAAGGCACAAGATTTTAGAGTTAATAGGTAGCAGAACCAAGACTAGAATTCAAGGCTGCTGATTTAACTTATCATTATATCAAAAGCTACTTTGTTTTGCTGTTTCCTTTTCTTCACTATCCATTTAAATATCTTATTTCTGGCTTTTTGTTTGTTTATTTTTATGAGAGAAAACATATACTTAAGGATTGCTGTCTCCTGCTTTTTATTTCATGACTCTTAAAAACAAAGGCATCATCAAAGTCATCAGAGATTTAGAGGTAAACCTCTAATTCTCAATTTCAATTGTATAAGTAACCTTTCTAGTAATGGAGCATAATTTTTATCTTTCTGTAATATGAAATATTATTTTGATTTTGATTTATTGTTTTAGGTACAGAGTGAATTGGAAGCAAAAGTTAATTCTGTTGCAGAATTACTTAATAAGTTACAGGAGACTGACAAACACTTGCAACGTGTTACAGAGCAGCAAACAAGCATTCAAAGTAAACAAGAGAAACTACATTGTCATGATCATGAAAGCAAATGAGTGTGTTTATGGAGCAGCACATTAGGCACCTTGAAAATTACAGCAACAGCAAATAGATATTCAGGTATCTATAGTAAAGCTAGTATACATTTCATGATGTTTTATCACTTGCATGTCTCATATTCATTGATAATTGCAATAGTTCATTAGATTGTAAGTTTTAGTTCTAAAACCATGATTTGCTTGCTCATCATTCTTCACCCCATGTGGAGACTGCCTGTTCTAGTTCAAATGGTACTTGTTTTGTGAGACCTTTCCTTATAGAGGATTTTTGTCCTTTTGCAGTACTTTTATTCATACTGCTTTTAAAGCAATGATTTCTTTGCATCAGCAGTTCTTAGTCTAGGAATGTGCATTAGAATCCCTTGAACTGTTTTATAAAAATGCATTTGCTTTGTCCTCAGAGATTCTGAGAGAGCAGTTTGAAGTGTTCCTTGGAATCATTGAAAGCTCTCTAATGATTCTGATGTACACCCTTGGATGAGAACCACCTGCTGTACATATTTGCTTCTGTATCTAATTAATTTAGAATAATGAATATCTTAATGCCTTCTGAATATGAGGCATTGGTCTATTATAAAAAGAAGAGTTATCTTTACAAAGAGCTGATAGCATAGTTACTCATTTATTTTGAAATTTCTAGGTCTTGGAACATTACTCAGCCCTCAAACTTTTTTTTAATGAGTTTATGACTGTGAATTTTCTTTTTTTTCTCTAATTAATATACAATTTAAAAACTTTAACAAAACTATATTAAAATATAACATTCAGAAGAATGTACAAAAATAAGTTTATTGCATCAATATATTATCACAAAGTGAACACTAAAGCACTGAAGTGGTATAATTAAAGTAGTATAATTTTTAAAACTTCTTTTTTGTTGTTTGTTTTTGTTTTTTGAGACAAGGTCTTGCTATGTACCTCAGGCTGGCTTCAAATTCGTGATCTTCCTGCCTGAGCCTCCCAAGTGGTAGAATTACAGGCATGCTCCAACAAGCCAACCTCTCAAGATTTTTTTATTGGTGTCGGATCAAACACAGGGACTTTTCCTATGCTAGGCAAGTTCTCTACCACTAAGCTAGACTTTTTTGGGGAGGGAGGATAGTATGGGGGTTGAACTCAGGGTCTCACGTTTGCTAGGTAGGTGGTCTACCACTTGAGCCACCACTCTACCAGCCCTTCTTGTGTTGGTTATTTTTGAAATAGTGTTTCACTTTATGCCCTGATAGACCTGGACTGCTGTCCTCTTATTTGTGCTTTCCTGAGTAACTGAGATGACATATGTGCCCAGCAATTGGTTGAGATGAGGTTTTGTGAACTTTTTGCTGGGGCTGTCCTCAAATCTCAGTCTTCTGGATCTCTACCTAGGATTACAGGCCTGAGCCACCAGGTCATGGCTATTATTTGAGTATGTACTATATGTTATTTTCAAAGCTTTACTTCAAATGAAATGTACAATTTAAAGATGAGATGATTTGGTTTTATATTCTTTGTTTGACAGAAAGGTCTAGGGTTATAACCCTTCCTTAATTCTCTCCTAACCTGATGAAATGGCCCCTGCACCATGTCTGAGGTGGAAGGGAAGACACTGAGGTTTAGAATGGTTAAAGAAAATGATTAATGTCACACAGAAGTCTTTGGCTTAACACACAGCAGAGACTCAACCCAGTCTTTGAGATTACATTCTTCTAATGACACCTCTGTTACCATACTCTGTTATGACAGTGATAGTTTCTGAGTAAGGTGTATATTTTCATTGTTTATTAACTTAAACAATTTTCAAGTCTGCTGATAAATGTCAATTCATTTTATTATCTGACTTTCAAGTGTTGCTTGAAATTAATAAAATAATTTTATTTCTTCTAGACTCATTTTATTAGTGCTGCACTCAAGACTAGTAGTTTCCAGCCTGTTAACATGCCCCCTTCCAGAGCAGTGGAAAAGTATTTTGTAAAACCAGAACATCTTAACCTGGGTAACAACCATCTGTCTTCATGTAATACATTTGCTTCCAAACAAGGTAAAAATATTTAGTTCCTTGAGTAAAAAATGTCACTAGAGTTCTTCATGCCATATAAGCTAAAAACTTATTTACTAAGTATTATAAGTCTTTATTTAATAAAAGGCTATGTTTTATAAAATTACAACTTTTTTGTTGGGAACAGGGGGTGGGGGGTTTTGGGCAGTGCTGGTAGTCTTACCACTGAGCCACATTGCCAGCCCTAAATTACTTCTTTTTTTTTGGTGGGACTGGGGTTTGAACTTAGGGCTTTGTGCTTACAAAGCCAGTTCTTTTTTTAGGTCAAGTAAATTTTAGGTTATTTTGAAACTTATTCAAATTATGGATCATGTCCTACTTTGTGGTTATAATTAATAACTTTCAGAAGTTGTCAAAACCACTTATAAGTTTAGAAGAATTTTACTTATCTAGTAAAATTAAAGCAAATATGTTTATAATATAATTCTCCAGTTCTCTGACAAGCTGTGTATTTTTTGTTATTCTTGATTTTTGTCAGGATAATAATTAAAAACTACATATCCTGCCCCCTTCTCCCATCTGCAGTTTTCCTTGCTAAAGTTTCAGTTATCCATAGTCACTTATGGTCTACAAATGCTAAGTAGAAAATTCCAGAAATAAACACTTCATAGTTTTAAATTGCATGATGAAATCTCTTGCTGTCTAGCTCAGTACTAGGAGGCTATGAATCATCCCTTTGCCCAGTGTATCCATACTACATTATATGTATGTATACAAAAAATTAAGTATATATGTATATATAAGTACACATACATATTGATAGATATAGGTAGGATTTGACATTGTTGTTTCAGACATTCACTGGGGGTCTTAGAACATTATCTCCCATGAATAAGAATGGGGGAATCTACCATATTTCTAACCATTTTTTAGTTACTTTCTTAAATCTTTTATCTCAATAAACTTTGAAAACAATTTATAATAAAAAAGAAATACATAACTTATTTATTAAGCCTTTGGAATTTAAAATAAATGAATATGTTTCCAAATTACTGATACTTGAATAACAAATTAAAGAAAATCAAGAGATTATTCATTTAATGATATATAGGTCCATGTATTTCCAACATTTGATTTATTAGAATATTTTTGTATTTCAGTCATTAAAGAGTCCTTATACTTGTAAGGTGCTTTATATTTTGCAACAAATAAATAATCTTTACAAGCTATTATGAAGTAATCTGAGCCAGTTTTTAAGTTTCAAAGAGAGGAAAGTGAAGCACAGAAATGTTTTGACTTGCATGCTTGAAAGGTAGGGTGTCAGAGCAAGGACAAGAACTTCTGTAGAAACTATTTTGCTGGTATATTCCATTCTAAAGAGTTACGTGCTCATAATTTTGTTCTTTTTGTTGTTTTTCTTTTCTTTCTTTTTTTTTTTTTAAGAGAGGAGGGATATATTTTGGTTCACAGTTTCAGAAGTACCAATCCATTATGGCAAGGAAGACATAGTAGAACTGAGCAGCTCGTAGTATGGTGGCAAGGAGGCAGACAAAAGACTGACTTGAGTTTTAAAAGAAAAAAAAAGCCTTTCATTAATTATATACTGTTTTCTTCTATTAGTTACAGTAACAAAAGTAAAAGAAAAACTGAGGGTGTGGGTTAGGTGGTAGAGTGGCTTCCTAGCAGTTGCGAGGCCCTGAGTTCAAACTCCTCTACAGAAAAAAGAGAAAAAAAGAAAAAAAACTGAGTCCATGAAAAATTCAACAAATTAAACCTTTTATTTTTCTGTATGTTTTCTGCGGTGTATGTCATTTTATACAGTTGAAATTGTAGCATAAATATATTCTTACTTCCATTAGCATATCAAAAGTATTTTCTATGTTTTACAGTTAACTTCTAATTAATTTTGGTTTTGATTTTAGGGATTAAAACCAAGGCCTTGTGTATGCTGGACAAGTACTCTACCACTGAGCTATACCCCATCCCATAATTTTAATTTGTTTGTAGGACTGGGTTTGAACTGAGGGCTTCACTCTTGCAAGGCAGGCACTCTACCATTTCAGCCACACCTCTAGTCCATTTTGCTCTGGTTATTTTTGGAGAGGGAAGTCTCATCAACTATTTGCCCAGGCTGGCCTCAACCTGTGATTTTCCTGATCTCAGCCTCCCAAGTAACTATGATTATAAGAATGAACCACTGGCAGCACCCAGCTAATTTTAATTTTTAGTGACTAAAGTGTAGTCTCTTGAATAGCTATTTCATGATTTTGAACAGTTAGGCAGGTTTTAGGGAGTTTTTTTTATAAATAATATTTTAATGACTATTTTAACATTTTCTTTCTTTTATGCTATTTCCTTAGAATAAATTCTCAAGAGATTACTAGGGCAGAGCATATTGTCAGATAGTTTATCAGTTTTCATTGCCATCAAAAGCATTTTCTCCACAGCTTCAATTCAGTTCTCCACAGCTGAATATTACCTTATTTATTCTTGTGTACCACATTTAAGTATAAAATGTTCATAGTCTTCATTTCGTTTTTTTTTAATTTTTTTGTAGTACTGGCACTTAAACTCTGGGCCTACTCCTTGAGCCACTCCACAAGCCCTTTTTTGTGATGGGTTTTTTTCCAGATAGGGTCTCAGGAACTATTTGCTTGGGAGGACTTAGAACCATGATCCATCCGCCTGATCTCTGCCTCTTGAGTAGCTAGGATTACAGGCATGAGCCACTGGTGCCCGGGTTCTTCTTTTTTTCAAAAATTTTTTACTAGGATATATTCATTATACCGGGATGATACATAGCAACAATTCCAATTAGACTTATATTGTACATTATTTACATTGCCCCCATCATTTCTCCCCGCCAACCCCCTCCCAGCCGCACTTAAAGCAATTAGAAGAGATTTCTTAGTTCTGTTTCTTATAGGTATATGAAGTCCATCTACTGTATAGCGTTACCTTAATCTCCTTCATTCACCCTCCCTCCTCCCATTAGTACCCTCCCCCCTACACACTGAATCTATTTTACAGTCCTGGTTTTTGTTGTTAATATTTAAGCTGATATTCAGAGGGTGTCCCAGTGTTTGCCCACTGTGGATGTACTTTACTTTGGTCCATTCAACCCCTTCCATTACTCTCCCTTACCTCTTTACCTCCCACCCCACATTTTTCAACAGCTTTAAATATACACCCTTATATCTTCCACCTTTGTGTCTTAGGTTATGTGATATTACTAATGTTCTATCATTTTCTTTTCTTTTCCCTCTTTCCCCGAGTTCCACAGAGTAGTTCCACTGTTACATACATGTTCTACAACTGAGTTTGTATATGATCATGCTTGTTTTTGTGTATATGTTTGTCTTTGGATCTATCTTCCACATTTGAGAGAAAACATGTGGCTTTTGTGTTTCTGAGCCTGGCTTACTTCACTTAACATGATGTCCTCCAATTACATCTATTTACCTTCAAACCACATGTCATTATTTCTTGTGGCTGAGTAATACTCCATTGTGTGTATAAACACCACATTTTCTTGACCCATTCATTTCTTTTTAATTCTGTATGTTTGTTAATAATTTGTGGCTCTTATATACTTTGGTTTTAAGTCTATAATTTGGTTTTAAATCTATAATTTAAAAGCATTTTAAATTTAAATTAATTATTTTCTTTTCTATTAAAGTACCTTTAAGAGAAACTGAAGATATGGGTTTTGATGAACAGAAATCTCCTCTGGAAACTCCAGCACCTCGCAGGTTTGCTCCTATACCTGTTTCAAGGGATGAGGAAATATCAAAGAAGGAAAATTCTATAGAAGAAAAAGAAAATATGGAAATGTCAGGTTGTAGAGGTGAGAAAGCAATTATAATTAACACCTACCTTCTACTAGACCCACTTCAAAATAGGAAATTCTTCTGAGATTTTTCTCATTCATTTAGAATTCTCTATGTTCCTAGTAGTAACAAACTGGGATTTCTATTGTCGAAATACTTTTTAAATGATACTGGTCAAATCAAGCTTCTTTCAGTTGTTTGTAGTAGTTGAAAGTATACATTTACAATTATTCTATCTCCTACAACTTGTTACTTAAACCTTTAATGAATAAGTTCTGTTATAAATAAAATATAGTACTTTATTGGAGGTAAGGCTGATCATTTTTTTCTTATATTGTTTTTATGTATGAATTTCAGTAGTAAAATATAGGGAAATTAATATTATTGCTGGAAAAAGTACTAACATATGAACTTTTTAATAGAGAACAAGAACTTTTATAAATAACTTGAAATAATACTTTTGCTACAGAGCCTTAAAATATAGCCCTTCTGGTAAAAGTAAGTGAAAATATTAAGCTGCAAGTTTTTATTCTTGGAATCATTTAAACTCACTTAAGTCTTGCCTTAGGAAAATTTTACAAGGTAATAAATCTCTAATGAAAACCATCTTACCAAAAGCAATCATTTGTAGTCATATTAAAAGTAAGGCTAATGGGATATTCCAATTAATTGTGGTTACAAAACACATAAATCTCCTTTTTACTAATTTATAAAAATAATCCCAATTTGCTGGGTTTTGTGTTGACAACATCTCTCTTTGTAATTCAGACTTTTTATCTATAGAACTCAAATTTTAGTTCCATGAGGTACAATATTTAGTTTTGATTTGGTGTTTTATAGTCCACATTTTGTCTTAATCTATTTTCAGTTGTTAGAAATGAACCCATAGGCTAGGTTATTTAGCTCATGTTCTAGAAGTACAAGAGCATGGCATAGCATCTGCTTAATTTATTAATCCATCAATGATTAGTCCATGGATTAATCCTCCTGACCAATCACCTGCTGAAGTTCCTGCCTCTCAAATACCATGAACTTTGAGGATTAGGTTTCCAACACATGAAATCTGGGGAATGTATGTAGACTACAGCAATCGTAGTGTGAATTTAGTAAATAATAATCATAAGAAACTAATTAGGCCAGCGTATAAATGTCTGGGAGATGTTACATGAAGGAGAAATGAATTAATTTTTGGAAAACGATGCTGTATTTCTTCTTTTGTAGGAAATGTAAGACTATTGGAACAAATATTGAATAACAATGATTCTTTGACAAGAAAAAGTGAATCATCAGATATAAACTCACTAAGCAGATCAAATTTGGGATGGATTCCTGAGAAAAGAGAAAGGTAAAAACAAGCAATTAGAATGAAAGCTAGAGTGGAAAGAGATTTGTTTAGATTTCTTTATTTTTTTTTTTGTTTTTTCCAGCTGTGCTGAGGTTTGAAATCAGGGCTTAGTGCTTGCTAAGTAGGCACTCTAACCACTTGAGCCACACGCCGTGCTCCCTCATCTTTTGTTTTGCTCAGGGTCTATAGTTGGCATGAATCACTGTGCCTAGACCTTTGTTCAAATTTATAAAGTTTCTTTATGAAGTTAAGTTAATTATATCATTGCTTTTCTAAATTAATTAATTAATTAATTTGAATTCAGGACCTCACACTTTCTAGGCAGGAGCTGTACCACTTGAACTACTCTGCCAGCCCTATATCATTACTTTTTAAAATCTTTGATTTGGTTAGTTTTCTGATGCTAATATATCTTCTTGTTTCAATAATTTGGTAGTGAAATAAATATCTAATTTTCTCAAAATCCAGGTTATTAAACAAATTCTGATGAAATGATATATGGATTTGATATGTGGAAAGTGAGTTGGAAGTATGGAAGAAATGAGGATAGCTGTGAGAATAATTCATGCAGTTAAATGATAAATATACAAAGATTCATTGCATTTTTCTCTCTTTTGTGTATGTTTGAAATTGTCTATAAGAAAAAGTTTTTATTTTTTTATTATTCATATGTGCATACAATGCTTGGGTCATTTCTCCTCCCTGCCCCCACCCGCTCCCTTACCACCCACTCCGCCTCCTCCTCTCCCCCCCCTCAATACCCAGCAGAAACTATTTTGCCCTTATCTAATTTTGTTGAGAGAGAGTATAAGCAATAATAGGAAGGAACAAGGGTTTTTGCTGGTTGAGATAAGGATAGCTATACAGGGAGTTGACTCACATTAATTTCCTGTGCATGTGTGTTACCTTCTAGGTTAATTCTTTTTGATCTAACCTTTTCTCTAGTTCCTGGTCCCCTTTTCCTATTGGCCTCAGTTGCTTTTAAGGTATCTGCTTTAGTTTCTCTGCGTTAAGGGCAACAAATGCTAGCTAGTTTTTTAGGTGTCTTACCTATCCTCACCCCTCCCTTGTGTGCTCTCGCTTTTATCATGTGCTCAAGTCCAATCCCCTTGTTGTGTTTGCCCTTGATCTAATGTCCACATATGAGAGAGAACATACGATTTTTGGTCTTTTGGGCCAGGCTAACCTCACTCAGAATGATGTTCTCCAATTCCATCCATTTACCAGCGAATGATAACATTTCGTTCTTCTTCATGGCTGCATAAAATTCCATTGTGTATAGATACCACATTTTCTTAATCCATTCATCAGTGTGGGGCATCTTGGCTGTTTCCATAACTTGGCTATTGTGAATAGTGCCGCAATAAACATGGGTGTGCAGGTGCCTCTGGAGTAACCTGTGTCACAGTCTTTTGGGTATATCCCCAAGAGTGGTATTGCTGGATCAAATGGTAGATCAATGTTTAGCTTTTTAAGTAGCCTCCAATTTTTTTTTCAGAGTGGTTGTACTAGTTTACATTGCCACCAACAGTGTAAGAGGGTTCCTTTTTCCCCCATCCTCGCCAACACCTGTTGGTGGTGTTGCTATGATGGCTATTCTAACAGGGGTGAGGTGGAATCTTAGTGTGGTTTTAATTTGCATTTCCTTTATTGCTAGAGATGGTGAGCATTTTTTCATGTGTTTTTTGGCCATTTGAATTTCTTCTTTTGAGAAAGTTCTGTTTAGTTCACTTGCCCATTTCTTTATTGGTTCATTAGTTTTGGGAGAATTTAGTTTTTTAAGTTCCCTATATATTCTGGTTATCAGTCCTTTGTCTGATGTGTAGCTGGCAAATATTTTCTCCCACTCTGTGGGTGTTCTCTTCAGTTTAGAGACCATTTCTTTTGATGAACAGAAGCTTTTTAGTTTTATGAGGTCCCATTTTCTATGCTATCTCTTAGTTGCTGTGCTGCTGGGGTTTCATTGAGAAAGTTCTTACCTATACCTACTAACTCCAGAGTATTTCCTACTCTTTCCTGTATCAACTTAGAGTTTGTGGTCTGATATTAAGATCCTTGATCCATTTTGAGTTAATATTGGTATAGGGTGATATACATGGATCTAGTTTCAGTTTTTTGCAGACTGCTAACCAGTTTTCCCAGCAGTTTTTGTTGAAGAGGCTGCTATTTCTCCATCGTATATTTTTAGCTCCTTTGTCAAAGACAAGTTGGTTATAGTTGTGTGGCTTCATATCTGGGTCCTCTATTCTGTTCCACTGGTCTTCATGTCTGTTTTTGTGCCAGTACCATGCTGTTTTTGTTACTGCTTTGTAATATAGTTTGAAGTCAGGTATTGTGATACCTCCTGCATTGTTCTTTTGACTGAGTATTGCCTTGGCTATTCGTGGCCTCTTGTGTTTCCATATAAATTTAACAGTAGATTTTTCAATCTCTTTAATGAATGTCATTGGAATTTTGATGGGAATTGCATTAAACATGTAGATTACTTTTGGGAGTATGACATTTTTACTATGTTGATTCTACCAATCCATGAGCATGGGAGATCTCTCCACTTTCTATAGTCTTCCTCAATCTCTTTCTTCAGAAGTTATAGTTTTCCTTGTAGAGGTCTTTCACATCTTTTGTTAGGTTTACACCTAGGTATTTGATTTTTTTGAGGCTATTGTAAATGGAATTGTTTTCATACATTCTTTTTCAGTTTGCTTCATTATTGTTAGTATAGAAATGCTAATGATTTTTCTATGTTGATTTTATATCCTGCTACCTTGCTATAGCTATTGATGATGTCTAGAAGCTTCTGAGTAGAGTTTTTTGGGTCTTTAAGGTATAGGATCATGTCGTCTGCAAATAGGGATATTTTGACAGTTTCTTTACCTATTTGTATTCCTTTTATTCCTTCTTCTTGCCTAATTGCTCTGGCTAGGAATTCCAGTACTATGTTGAATAGGAGTGGAGATAGTGGGCATCCTTGTCTGGTTCCTGATTTTAGAGGGAATGGTTTCAGTTTTTCTCCATTAAGTATAATGCTGGCTGTAGGTTTGTCATATATAGCTTTTATAATGTTGAGGTACTTTCCTTCTATTCCTAGTTTTCTTAGAGCTTTTATCATGAAATGATGTTGGATCTTATCAAAGGCTTTTTCTGCATCTATTGAGATGATCAAGTGGTTTTTGTCTTTGCTTCTGTTAATGTGGTTTATTACGTTTATTGATTTTCATATGTTGAACCACCCCTGCATCCTGGGATGAAGCCTACTTGGTCGTGGTGAATAATCTTTTTGATGTGTTGTTGAATTTGGTTTGCCATTATTTTGTTGAGGATTTTTGCATCAATGTTCATTAAGGAGATTGGCCTATAGTTCTCCTTTTTGGAGGTATCTTTGCCTGGTTTTGGGATAAGTGTAATACTGGCTTCATAAAATGTGTTAGGTTGTTTTCCTTCCCTTTCTATTTTGTGGAACAGTTTAAGGAGGGTTGGTATCAGTTCTTCTTTAAAGGTCTGATAGAATTCAGCAGAGAATCCATCAGGTCCTGGACTTTTCTTTTTGGGGAGACTCTTGATTGCTGCTTCAATTTCATTTTGTGTTATAGATCTATTCAGGTGATTAATTTCCTCTTGGTTCAGTTTTGGATGATCATATGTATCTAGAAATCTGTCCATTTCTTTAAGATTTTCAAATTTATTTGAATATAGGTTCTCGAAGTAGTCTTTGATGATTTCCTGGACTTCCATGGTGTTTGTTGTTATCTCCCCTTTTGCATTCCTGATTCTACTAATTTGGGTTTTTCTCTCCTCATTTTAGTCAGGTTTGCCAGGGTCTATCGATCTTGTTTATTTTTTCAAAGAACCAACTTTTTGTTTCATTAATTCTTTGTATGGTTTTTTTGGTTTCTATTTCATTGATTTCAGCTCTTATTTTTATTATTTCTCTCCTTCTATTTGTTTTGGGATTTGCCTTGTTCTTGTTTTTTAGAGTTTGAGATGTATCATTAGGTCATTGATTTGGGATCTTTCAGTCTTTTTAATGGAACTTTTTAATTTCCTCTTTTATTTCATCGATGATCCATTGTTCATTAAGTAATGAGTTACTCAGTTTCCAGCTGTTTGCATGTTTTTTGTCTTTACTTTTGTTGTTGAGTTCTAGTTTTACTGCATTGTGATCAGATAGTATGCACGGTATAATTTCTATTTTCTTATATTTGCTGAGGTTTGCTTTGTGCCCTAGGATATGATCTATTTTGGAGAAGGTTCCATGGGCTGCTGAGAAGAATGTATATTGTGTAGAAGTTGGATGAAATGTTCTGTAGACATCAAGTAGGTCCATTTGATTTATTGTATATTTTAGATCTTGAATTTCTTTGTTGACTTTTTGTTTGGCTGACCTATGTATTAATGATAATGGGGTGTTAAAGTCTCCCACAACCACTGTGTTGGAGTTACTATATGCTTTTAGGTCTTTAGGGTATGTTTGATGAAGTTGGGTGCATTGACATTGGGTGCATATAGGTTGATAATTATTATTTCCTTTTGGTCTATTTCCCCTTTTATTAGTATGGAATGTCCTTCTTTATCTCATTTGATCAATGTAGGTTTGAAGTCTACTTTGTCAGAGATAAGTATTGGTACTCCTGCCTGTTTTCGGGGGTCATTGGCTTGGTAAATCTTCTTCCAGCCTTTCATCCTAAGCCTATGCTTATTTCTGTTAGTGAGATGGGTCTCCTGTAAGAAAAAGTTTTTTTGAGGCTGGGGATATAGCTCAGTAGTACTTGCCTAGCATGAATGAGGCCCTGGGTTCAATCCCTCAGCACCACAAAAGATATCTATGTATATGGTTTTTTTTTTAATCAAGTAAATCTGGGCCATAATAATAATATTTAACTTCAATATTGTGAATTCTGCAGTAGTTAAAGCTAAAAGCCACAATTTGAATAATTTCATGTAGATATACTATACAATTTTAATTTATATACCTGTACTGTAATTACTGGTAACATGAGATTTATGTCTGCAATATTGTTTTCTGTGTATTTTAAAAGGTCTTTGTTGTACTATTTGCCCATTAGTGCTTTCTTTTGTATTAAGTATTTTCTAGTGTACCATTTTAATTCCTTTGTTGTTTCCTTTGCTAACATTTCTTGTTATTTTCTTAGTGGTTGCCCTAGGGACTATAACTGACATTAATTTAAAACAATCTAATTCAGATTAATACCAATTTAATTTCAGCAGTATTAAAATTTTGTTTTCTCACTGGGTGCTGGTGGCTCACACCTGTAATCCTAGCTATCAGAAGGTAGATATTAGGAGGATCGCTGTTTGAACCCAACCTGGGCAAATAGTTCATAAGACCCTTTCTTGAAAAAACCCGTCGCAAAAAAAAAAGGCTGATGGAGTGGCTCAAGTTCAATCAAACCCTCGTACCAGTAAAAAAACAAAATTGTTCTCTCATTCTTTCTACTCTTACTGTCAGACAAATTACATTTTTATTTATTATAAGCCCATCTATAGAGCTGGAATATTGCAAACAAAAATACATATACCATCTTTTATATTTACCTATGTAGTTAACTTTTACTAGTATTCTTTATTTCTTCACATATATTCAAGTTAGAGTTCTAGTGTCTTTTTAGTTCACTCTGAAGGACTCTCTTTAGCATTTCTTGTAGGTTAGGTCAGCTACCAATGAATTCTCTAAGTTTTTATTTATCTGGGATTGTCTTTAATTGCTCCTTTACTTTTTTTTTTTTTTTGGCTTGAACAGAAATTTATTTTCTCACAAGAAGTTAAGATCAAGGTGCCAACAGGGTTGATTTCTTCTGAGGCCTTTCTCCTTGGCTTGTAGATAGCCTGCCTGCCTGTCATTTTTCTTCACGTGGTCATCCTTCTGTGCATGTACACCTCTCATGTCTTCTTCACTTTAGAAGGATGGTTTTGCTAGATACAGAATTTTTGGTTGACATTTTTGTTTCAGCATGTTGAATGTTCAGTGCCTCCTGGATTTTATGGTTACTTTGAGAAGGTAGTTATTAATAAAGATCCTTTGTATATGATAAGTAATGTTTCTCTTGCTGCTTTTAAGATTCTCTTTTTGTCTTGGGCTTTTGACACTTTGACTATCACGTGTCTAAGTATGGATGTCTTTGTGTTTATCCTTCTTGTATCTTGTTGAGCTTCTTAGATGAGTAGATTAATTTTCATTATATTTGGTGATGTTTGGGGCCATTATTTCCTTACTAATGGTGTAATGACCTTTCTCTCCTCTGTTTCTAGGATTATATTGTATTTTGGTAAACTTGGTGGTTTTCCATAGGTCTCTGGGCCCTGTTAATTTTTCTCTTGCAGTGCTCAGACTGGATTATCTCAATTAACTTATCTTCAAGTTTGTTGATTCTCTGCCAGCCCAAATACTGTGTTGAGTCCTTCTAGTAAATTTTATACTTTAGTTGCAGAATTTTTTCATCTCCAGAATTTTTTTCTATTTGGGAAGACTTCATTTTTATACTTTCCCTTGATTTTTTCAACTAGTTTCTTTAGTAATAACTGAATTGTAGTCTTTGTCTAGTGAGTCTAATATTTGTGATTTCTCAAAGATAATCTCTATTGACTGTGCCTTTTTTCTGTATTTAAGCTGTACTTATCTATTCCTGTTTTGTTGTTGTTGAAAAGTAAACACTGTGAACAGTATGGTGAGGCAACACTAGAAGTCAGATTCTTCCACTTCCCAGAGTTTGTACTTTTCTGGTTATCATTTTTCTTATTGTTGACTTAGCAGCTTTCCTGGACCAATTCTGCAGTTTGTATTCTTTGCCATCTATTCCACTGAAGTCTCTATTTTATTAGCTTAGCCTGCTAATAATGATTGAAAGTAAATTTTCTTACCTTGAATTGATAAGTCACCTTCTTTGCCAATGGTGGGGTTTTTTTTTGGGGGGGGGTGTATAAGGGGGAAAGAGAGAGAGAGAGACAGAGAGAATGAGAATGAATGAGAAAACAAAGCCCCGTGTGCATGACTTTCTAGATTCCCAGGAATATAGTGAAGCTTACCAAAGCTCCTGTATGAATGTGTCATTCCCTAGATTTTAAAAGTTTGTTGGCCATAATATCATTTGCCTCAACTGACATTGCTACCTCAGGTGGCTGAGATGTTAAACAATTGCTATGATCTTTTATCTGGAGGTAGAGATTCTCATTGAGCTCACTGTGAGTTAGACCAAATAAAGACAAACTCTATGGATGAGACTTCTGTGGCGCTCCAAACTTGTGCTACCCTTCTTAACGATTGTGAGGCTGTTGGTTTTCAAGCTCACAGAGTTGAGGAAAGGGTTCTAAAAAGGGCAGGTTTTTAAAAACTGCTATGAACCTTACCCAGAATCTGCCATTTTTCTTGAATGAATGTTCTTTGGGTCATTGCAGGGTTTTCTTTAATTTCCAGAGTTCTGAAAAAAATAGATTTTGATGAGTTTTGCTAGTGTTCTCATTGTCCTTATGCAGGATGGATTTTAAGAAATTCTTTTTCCACCAGTCTGGAAGTGCTCTTGAATATTAGCTTCTAGAGAGCAGAACCATTTTATGCTTTTTTCCCACTTTACCTAAATACTTGTGGTCAGATTAATTTTGTCTCTTGTGATTTTCTGTGCTTCATGTGTTTATGATATAACTCATTAATTCCATAGTACAATTTTAGTAGGATATCATTACTATATACATCATAACATAAACATAAGAATATATCAGAGGTTCACGTAATCAAATGTTTATTGAATTTACAACAATTTAGGACATTTTTCTTCTAATCTTTGTAGCATTGAAACGCTACCTTCTCAAAGAGTTCCTTCCTATGAAGAGCTAGGAACAGCTAAAGGGACTATACAGAAGTACAATGATGTTCTTCATGACCTGGGCCAAAAAAAGAAAGAAATGAATGGCAACCTCCAGGTAAAGTGGGAATAGTGTTAAAACTGATGAATAGAAAGATAAAAATTTTGAAGGAATAAAAAGGTTGTAAAGACAGAAATCAGGAGGAAGGATAAAGATAAAGCACTGAAAAACATATGTCAGCCAAGTCTGTCCCTTTACAAAATTTTTTCTGAAGCCTTTACCAAGTGATTTCTGTTTATCACTCTTGATCAGGACTGAGGCACATGGCCATCTCTGACTTTCCAGCTTCTAACAGAAAGGCAGAGAGGGAGAAAGAGAGCTGTGAATGGCCCTCGTTTTTATCTGTCCACAAGGTCTGCCACACCTCCCTAGAGCCAACTTGCTCTTACTTTGTTTAGCTTTCTTCAGCAGTAGAGTTTTCATTAGCCAATGGACTGCCTAGCACTGCTATGAATTTCCCATCTTTATTGAATTTAACACTCGTATGAGTACTTGAAACAAGGGAAAAATTACTAATGCCAACTACTTTATAACTCTTTGGTTGAACAAATTGAGTCCTTAAATTATATTGGCATAGTGTGTGACCCCGACAATAGTATAGCTCTTGTTTGGATTAAAAAATAATCACTGTGATTTTTTTTTCCTTTTTAAAAATTTTAAGCCAAAAGAATCTCCAATTACACTGAGGCTTGCTGATCTACCACAGAGTTCTGTTAAATTTCAACCAACCAATACAGCAAGGTCTATATTGAAAGATGCTGAGAAAATTTTGAGAGGAGTACAAAACAATAAAAAAGTACTTGAAGAAAACTTAGAAGCTATTATTCGTGCAAAGGATGGAGCTACTATGTATTATTCATTTATCAATGCTTTATCTGCCAATAGGTAAGACAGGATGTTGGCATTCCAAGGTTATTTATGAAGCTGTCAGCTCACTTTCTTCATTTTTTTCTAAGCACTTAACTTTGCTTAATGCATTTTAATATTTAGAATAGATTATTTATTGTCTTCGAATAAGTGGAACTTTATAGTTGGAATTGTGATATATACTTTAAAATTGTTTTTCTCTTATTGGTATACATCTCCTTTAGTTCTTTTCAAATATTTAATACTGGGCTGGTGAAGTGGCTCAAGTGGTAGATTGCCTGCCTAGCAAGAATGAGGCTCTGAATTCAAAACACAGTATCACAAAAATCAAAAACAAAAACAAAACAAACATTTGATGTAAATTAATACCATTGGTTTTTTTCTTTTCAGGTGAAGGATATTAGGATACACCGTAGATTTAAAACTAGATATGTCTTATATCTGATCCAGGTTCTGTAATCAAGAAAGTAAGGCTAATTTAAGAAAATCCCTTTTTCCTCTCTTGTAGAGAGATGTCAGAGAAAATTAGGATCAGAAAGAAAGTAGATGAATGGATTAAAACCATTTCTGCAGAAATTCAGGTATGTCTTACAAAAAACTGAAAATTAAGTGAATTCTCAAAATATAACATTGGTTCCAATTTATAATTATTATATTTGTTCTCTAAATATTCCTTACATATAAATCCAGTTATAATTCTTAATTTCATTGTCATTGTATTCACTTGATAATAAGTATACTTCTATTTAAAAATTTTATCTTATAAATTGTATATTATGGCTCTTATGTGGTAAATTGTTGAATAGTAACTAAAATATGGGTAATTTGAAAGAAAATTTAGCAAAAATATTTAGAAACGAAAAGAATTATACTTGAAAAAATGTTTTAAGACAGCAGATTAAGAAGCATTGGCTCACTAAAGTAGACACAACAAAGATACTTAAGGAGGGAAAAATCACTCAATTTCCATGGAACAGAAGTCAGTACCAGATGGAAAAACACTTATATCCTTGAAGAGCATGATATATCTTCAGACATCAGCATCGCAAAAGTCTAAGAGTTATTCTTATTAAGGGATCAGTCATATGAAATGCTTGCAGTTTTGCTTGCTTGAAGGAGTACAATTAGCTGTCATTTTGTCTAGAGTGTAGGATGGTTCCTGACTAGAAGACAGATGAGCTTACATGTTTACCCACAGTCGTAGCAAAGTGAAGTGTTAGTTCTGTTTCCACAGTAGTAAACATGTAAATATATTTAAACTTTGTTACTCAGGAATATATATCTCCAATGCAGTTATAAAGAATTTATATTAACTATCACTACGCTTCAGAAAAAAGTTGAACTAAGAGTCTAGTTCTGGCTCTGTAGTAAACTAACATATGTCCCTTTATCACTATGAATTTCACGTAAAATATGTTTATTTAATCCTTCAAAACCTCCACGTAATTGTTTTATTACAAATTACTTGCTTTCATTGAAACTTACTTATTAAATTTAGTTTTTTAAATTCATATGGTTCAAATATCAAAAAGCATTAAAAAAAAAAAGCCCCTCTACTTTATCTGTGGTTCCTATTCCTCTTCCTCTTCCATATGGATTGCTTTTTTAAATCTTTCTTTTTTTTTTTTTTCTTTTTTTTTGGGGGAAGTACTGGGGTTTGAACTCAGGGTCTCATGTTTGCTAGGCAGTGCTCTACCACCAGAGCCCTTTTGCCATTCTCCTTCTCCTACATAAAATACTGGTCTTTTTAGTTCTGGCATTTTTTGTTTGTTTGCTTTGGTTTTTGTTTTTGTAGACAGGGTCTTGCTATGTAGCCAAGACTAGCCTCAAATCCTACTGGTTTAGCCTCCCAAGTTCTGGAATTGCAACTGTGTAACACCATGCCTGGCATCTTTTTAGTTTTCTTGTTTACTCTTTCACAGAATTTTTATTTATGCATAAGATAGTTTCCTTTATTTTTAAGGCATTTAAGACTGCTAAACTATACTTATATATAACAGTAAAGTATAAATGTAATACTTTCTGGTCAAAAGAATTACTATTTGTATAGTTTTTTAAATTTTTTTAATGTTGGTTACTTTAGGATGAACTAGCAAGAAAAGATTATGAACAAAAGAGATTTGATCAGAAGAATCAAAGCACCGTGAAAACTCAGAATAGGAGTAAATATATTAAAACCAATACACAAGACAGAACTGTGAACAAGTCTGTAATTCCAAGAAAACCTGTTGAAAAACATGCAGAAGGGCATTTCAGAAGTCCACCTATGAAAAATATGCCTGCTTCAAGTTTACAGAAAGAGAGGAAAGAAGTAAGACAGATCCTAATCTTGTTTTGTCATATAAAGATTGCATTATAATCAGTAATTTCCTTTAAGGTATAAGTAATGAAGTGGATGTGAAGATGTTTTAAAAATATGAAGGACTATGCAAATGTAAACTATCTTTACACTATTAATATTTGAGGTTTTGAATCCATAATGTGGAAAGCACTGCACCAAATCTGTAGTTCTTTCCTTCTGAGATCTCATGTTTAGTTCTTTCTGTTTAGTTTTTAAAGATAGTGTTTGCTATATGCCTAGGCTAGCCCCAAACTCCTGGGCTCAAGGTGGTATGTCACCAGGTTTAGATTTCATACTTAGAAACATAGTATTATAATTATGGTATATCTAGACATTAATGTTGGTATTAGATATCTTGATTACTATTAGATAATCAAGATTCATAGTACTCAAAAGCATGTTTCATTTTTGTGTACATGTGTGTAGTTGTTTATTTTTAAGTTTAAGAAATGCATATTTAATGCCTAGTGAATGCAAAGCATAGTACTGGATATTTGAATGGAACTTTTTTTTGATTGCCCTAATAGACTTTAATTTTCTTAGTGCCAAGCATAGATTGTTGAGCACATTATTAAAGACTCTGATTTAGTGCTTGGTACTTAGTAAATGCTTAATGAATGCTGCCTTTCTATGGTATTTAGATTATGGTTGAAAGTGGGATCAAGAATGTATAAAGTCAGTCAGGCACCGAGTCTTACACCTATAATCTCAGCTTCTTGGGAGGCAGAGACTAGGAGGATTGCAGTTTGAGGCAATCTTGAAAATACCCAACACAGAAAAGGGCTGGTGGAGTGTCTCAAGTGGTGGAACACCTGCCTAGCAAGCATGAGGCCCTATGTTCAAACCGTAGTACTGCCCCCCCCCAAATGTGTAAATGAGTTAAAGAAAAGGCTTATTGTCTTTTATTGTATTTAAATATAGTAAATATGTAAAATTTATTTAAACATTTTTGGTGCTGACAGTGCACTTAATAATGTAAAAGCCTTCATGTTTCTTAAGTGTATGATTTTTTATTTAAATTTCATGCTTTTTAAACTCATGTTTGAAAACTATATCCAGAATGTAAGGACTACTTAAAATAGAGGATTTTTTTTGATCTGGTTATTCTTATCATAGTATTTAAGCTAGCAAAAGGAAGCTCAAGAAAATTGAGGTGAATCAATGTCAGTTCTCATAGTTTAATATTTTTATATCCATAGGGGCTTTTGAAATCAACCACAGTTATACAAGATGAGGATTACATGTTACAAATATGGAAAACCAGTTTACCAGGGTCATCGCAGCACTCTTAAAAAAGGACCGTATCTCAGATTTAATTCTCCGTCCCCAAAGTCCAAGCCACAGAGACCCAAAGTCATAGAACGAGTTAAAGGTAAGAAACCTCATTTTTTTTTTCATTTTTCTTTTATTATTCATATGTGCATACAAGGCTTGGTTCATTTCTCCCCCCTGCCCCCACCCCCTCCCTTACCACCCACTCCGCCCCTTCCCTTTCCCCCCCCTCAATACCCAGCAGAAACTATTTTGCCCTTATTTCTAATTTTGTTGTAGAGAGAGTATAAGCAATAATAGGAAGGAACAAGGGTTTTTGCTGGTTGAGATAAGGATAGCTATACAGGGCATTGACTCACATTGATTTCCTGTGCGTGGGTGTTACCTTCTAGGCTAATTCTTTTTCATCTAACCTTTTCTCTAGTACCTGAAAACCTCATTTTTTGTGTTTTACCTCATTTTTATGGCATCAATTTATTATTTTTTGCTTTTTTATTTATACTTCTACATACAGTTCAACTAATACAATGCTTAGGTACAGAAAAATAATTCCAGAACTTACAGAGCAACATTTGCTGTTCATTATCACAAAATGTTTAGAAGCACTTTTGAGTTTTGTTTGTTCTCAAAGAGCATTAGGTAGTAGAAGCAAATTTTTTTTGTTGCTTTTGCACATGAATAAAAATATCTTCATTTAACACAGCATGTTTTGACATGTCATATCAACCATTTTACTGGTGTATTTAAATATAACAGTTAAATATTGAGTCTTTCAACTTTGGCTGCATTTCTGAAGTTGCTCAGCTTATACCATTAACAGTTAGTAGGCTACTTTGACAACTGCAATAATTAGTAAAACCAGACCATCTTCTTTTCATCCTTTCTAGAAGTTGGAACTGTGGCAGTTGCTTTAGTTCCTTTTCCTTTCCAAAAGTTAGGTGATCAGTGTGTGTCAGGTTAACAAAAAATCCTACTGATTTTTCAGTAAAACATATAGTTTATGAATGGTATTTATCCTGATGTTTCCTCTCATTTACAGGAGAGTTATTATTATATTATATTTGGAGTATTGGCCCAAACAATATATGCATGTATGAATAAATGAATAAAAGAAATATATTTGGAGTATTGAAAGCCTTTTCAAAGAGTAGCTTAAGGTTTTGAAATACTTTCAAAAGCCCAAAATGACTTTTTAAAAGTAGCCTTTTTAAGGTAAAAGTAGTGACAGTCTATAGACATATGCTCATCCTGGGGTCTTGGTACTTGCTATATTTCCTCTCTCTAGAAAACTTTTCCTTCAGACACTTGCAAGGCTCACCCCTCAGTCCTTTTCTTTTTTTCTTTCTTTTTTTTTTCATTTTTATCAGTATATGATAGTTAATACAGAGGGTTTTATTGTGACATATACATTTATTATACCCCAGTTTGGTTCATCCCCTCCATTATTCTACCTCCTACTCCATTCCCTTCTTAAAATAATGTCAACAAGTTTCAGTGTTCCATATTAATATGTGTATAGAAAATACATCAACCGTATTCACTCTCCTTTACCCTCTTCATTTTCCCTCCCTCTTCTACTATTGCCTTCTCCTTTTTTTAAAAAAATTATTCATTTATTCACATGTGCATACATGGTTTGGGTCATTTCTCCCCCCTGCCCTCCTACTCTATCCTCTCCCCCTCCCCCTTCCCCTCCCTCCTTTTACCCTCTCCTTAACATGACCTGTTTTACATTCCTATCCTTCATTGTTTACATGTCTGTTCATTATTCAGTGGAGTTTTGCCATGGTATTTTATCTATAAACATGTTGTGCTTAAATCAGTCTAACCCCTCCACTACTCTTTCCTTCCCCTTTCTCCCCTACCCTGTATTATTCAACAGTTTTTAGTGTGCTTTTTTTGTGTCTTGTTCCTACATAGATGTGATGTATGTCATTATTATTCACTCTCTAGCATTCTTTTCTTCCTCCCTTAGTCTCCTCTAACAGTTCCACTTTTGGAAATGTGTTCTGTATATATTTATATGTATATATGATAGTGCTTGTATTTATATTGATCTACCTTCCACCTATGAGCAAAAACATGACCTTTGGCTCTCTGAACCTGGCTAACTTCACTTAAAATGATGTTCTCCATTTCCATCCATTTATGTGCGAAAGACAACATTTCATTCTTTATGGCTGAATAAAATTCCATTGTGTATAATTACCACATTTTCTTAATACATTCATCAGTTTTAGGGCATCTGGGTTGTTTCCATAGCTTAACTATTGTTAACAATGCTGCAATAAACATGGGTATGCAAGTGTCTTTATTGTAACCTGATTTATATTCCTTCCAATATATGCCTAGAAGTGGAATTGCTGGATCATGTGGAAGTTCTATTTTTAGATTTTTGAGGAGTCTCCAAACTGTTTTCCATAGTGGCTATACTAATTTACATTCCCACCAACAGTGTTTGAAGGTTCTTTTTTCCCCATCTTTGCCCAACATTTGTTGTTTGTGTTCTGTGTGTGTGTGTGTGTGTGTGTGTGTGTGTGTGTGTTCTTGATGATAGCCATTCTAATAGGAGTGAGGTGGAATCTTAATGTGGTTTTGATTTGCATTTCCTTTATGGCCAGGGATGTTGGGCATCCCTGTTTTTTTGGCCCTTTGTACTTCTTCCTTTGGAAAAGCTTTGCCCATTTCTTCATTGGGTCATTGATTCTTTGGGAATCAATAGCTGGCAAAGACTTTCTCTCATCCTCTGGGCTGCCTCTTCAGCCTGGTGGTCATTTCCTTTGCTGTGTAGAAGTTTTTAGTTTCATGTAGTCCCATTTGTTAATCCTTTCTCTTAGTTGCTGAGCCATTGGAGTTCTATTTAGGAAGTTATTGCTTATGCCTGTAAATTCCAGTATATTCCCTGCTCTTTCTTGCACTAGTTTCAAAGTTTCAGGCCTAATAGTAAGGTCTTTGATCCCCTTTGAGTTGATGTTTGTGCAGGGTGAAAGACATGGATCTAGTTTCAGTCTTCTACATACAGATAACCAGTTTTCTCAGTCACATTTGTTGAAAAGGCTGTCTTTTCTTCACTGTTTTGGGCATCTTTGTCAAAAATCAAGTGACCGTAACTGTGTAGATTTATGTCTGGGTCTTTTATTCTGTTCCACTGGTCTTCGTGTCTGTTTTTGTGCCAGTACCATACTATTTCTATTGCTATGGCTCTGTAGTTTAGTTTAAAGTTGGGTATTGTTATACCTCCAGTGTTGCTCTTTTTGCTCAGTATTGCCTTGGCTATTCTCGATCTTTTGTGTTTCCATATGTCTGTGAGGAATATCTTTGGAATTTTGGTGGGGGTTGCTTTGAATGTATAGATTGTTTTGGTAGTATAGCATTTTCATATTAACTCTGCTGATTTGTGAGCATAGGGATCTTTCCATTTTCTGATATCTTCTTCAGTGACTTACAGTTTTTATTGTAGAAGTCCTTCATTTTCTTTGATAGCTAATTTTTTGAGGCTATTGTAAATGGAATTGATTCCCTGAATTCTTTCTCGGTCTATTCTGTGTTGGTATATAGAAAGCTACTGATTTTTGTATATTGATTTTTGTATTCTGCTACTCTGCTAAAGGTGCTTATGATGTCTAGGAGTTTTTTAGGTTTTTTAGGTATAAGATCATGTTATCTGCAAATAGAGATAATTTAACTTTTTCCTTTCCTATTTGAGTCCTTTTATTTCTTTTTCCTGTCTTATTGTTCAGGCTAGGAATTCTAAGACTATGTTGAATAAGAGTAGTTCTTTTAGACTTCTGCTCTTAGATATTAGTGCCTCAGAGGTCTACCTTGACCATCTAATCTAACGAATTGTCTTCTGTCCCTCTTTTTCCCCCTGCTCCTTCCTTACTGTTATTAATAGCAGTTTTCATTATCTGATATTATATTATGTTTATTTCTTCATGAGGAAAAGTACTCATTCAAAAGAATCAGTGAGGGCTGGTGGAGTGACTCAAGTGGTAGAATGCCTGCCTGGCAAGCATGAGGCCCTGAGTTCAAACCCCAGTACCACCAAATACAAACAAAAAAAGAATGAAGAAATATTAGAGAACAAAATGAAAAAATAAAGATACTGTAGTAAAATTTTTCTTTCTGGGATTGTAAATGAAAGAAAACTATATTTAAAAATCTAGCTAGGTATGGTAGCACACAGATATAATGCTAGCACTCAGAAGACTGAGGTAGGAGGATTATGAGTTCTAGACCAGGCAGGCTACATAGTTTGACCCAGTCTCCAAAAACAAAACAAAACAAGAACCAAAGTCTAGATGTATAAATCTACTCATGTGTTAAAAGTAAAAATATAGTAATGTCAGGAAATGTTTATAAAATATTTTAGTCTCCTTTTCTTCCTACTTTTACTTTTTTTTCTTCACTTTCTTTTTTTATCTAAAGAGACAGATAATCAAATTGTGTTTTTAGGAATTGAGGATATAATGTCTGTATAACTCTATCACAGAAGCTGTATAAGTTCATCATTCTCTCAGAGGCTGGAAAACTATGGTCTACATGTGAGCTGCCTATTGTGTGTACAAATTTGTAAAATAAAATAAAATAAAATTTTATTTGTTTATTGTCTGTAGCTGCTCTTATGATAGCAACACTGAGGCCACATGTCCAGCAAGACCAAACTCTCTACTGTCTGGCCGTTTAAGAAATGGCCTCCTGTCAATCTCTGGTCTATATGTTATTTCTGTTTTGGGGCCCTCTAACCTTGTTAAATTGAATGAAATTTTTCTGTGAAGAAGAGTTGCTGTATTTTTAGATGACTAGATAGTAGATACTCAAATAGTATTTTAACTTTTATTTATTTATTCATTTATTATGGAAGTACTGGGGTTTGAACTCAGGGCCTTGTGCTTGCTAGGCGGGCACTCTACCACTTGAGACCCTTACCCAGCCCCTTCAAATAATATTTTAAAATATCTGCCATTGATGATTATTACAGGCACTAAAGTAAAGTCAATAAGAACACAGACTGACTTTCATGCAACAAAACCTATGAAGATGGATTCTAAAATGCAACATCCCACTCCTGCACTACCTCATGGCGATCAGCAATATTTGTTTAGTCCAAGCAGAGAAATGCCTACTCTTTCAGGTACACTAGAAGGCCATCTAATTCCTATGGCAATACTTTTAGGTAAGAACCAACAAAATATGTTGGGTAATTTTAATTTCATATGAGAAGTAGCAGAACTTATAAAATGGAACATATACAGTAGTCACCTATGTGTTGTTTATAAATGTGGGGAGGGCTTCAGAATGTATCTTATGCTGTGTGATAGCAATCTCTGAAAATAAGTGAGTTCCTGCTGTATTTTCACCACAACATTCTTTTGGTAATGGACAGTACATTACTGTATCTGAAATGATTAGATATGTCATTGATATAATACTTCAAGAATTCAAGCTTGACTGGCTTGTTAATATTGTCATGTCTTAGGAGAAGTACTGTAAGGCACTTTTATGTACTTTTGAACTAGGCTATGATAGGTCAGAGTGGTGATAATGGAGGGAAAGCTAACTGTCCATTGGTGCTTTCCTTTCATATGAGAGAATAGCCACAAAGATCTAGGTAATAGAGTAGATTTTTCTCTTCATTTTAGAAATAGTTGACTTATTTTCTTCCCTTAATTTCTTAGGACAAACCCAAAGTAATAGTGATTCCATGCCATATACTGGAGTAATTATAAACAAGCCACATCCTATAACTGTGACTACTTCCATTCCTCCATCATCTCGAAAAGTAGAGGCGAGAGTAAAGAAACCTAATATAGCAGTTGTAGAAATGAAGTCAGAAAAAAAGGATCCTCCTCATCTTACTGTACAGGTATGCCAGGGTGCATGAGCAGAAAATTGTAAAGCAAAAAATCTTTGATTTAACATTAGTAATTAAAATTTATTATATTGCTTCCTGAAGACTTTGCTTTCATTATGGCTCCTGTGATATTAATGTGGTATCTGTATTCTCTGCATTATTTAAGTTATTCTAGGCCAGTAATTCATATCTAGGTGACTCAACAATATCTAAAAGAGGATAATTGAGCAGTATATTATAATTAATTTTTAAAATGAGTTAATGTGCATCACTCAGATAACTAATACTTCAGATTTTACATAAACATGTAAGACTTGATAAATGTCGACAGAACTTTTTATATGGAAAAGACTAAATTATGTTATTGATTCTCCCCAACTTAATGTATCATTTTAGTGAATTTCTAATTTAAAGAATAACCAGGAGTTTTTTTTTCCCCTTAAACCTGAACATTTTGATACCTGGAAGAATAAAGGGTTTAGAAAAGTTAGAAGTTTTGGTACTAGTCTAATAGAATTTCAGAATTAGCCTTTGTTATTTAAAAAGAATGTGTAATGTGATGGAAGCTTCCTATGTTAGTGAGAAATAGGATTCATGTAAATGAAATAATGTATGTTGGCTCAACAATGTGAGAAAATGATCAGTTTTAGACTATAAATTACTGTTGTGTAGCAAAATAGACAATACACTAAACTATCCAATATATAAGCAGAAAAATTAGAAAATAATTAGATGGAATCCTTATCAAAGCTGAAGCTAACTAGATATGAGAGAGGAAAACTTAGATATGTTAGAAAAGTAGGTACAAAACCTAAAGGTTACATGTGTAAAAGAAAATCCTAAATAGAAAGGAAAACAATAAGTATTAGAGACATGGCTCAAGTGGTAGAGCCTGTAACTCACACATGTGAAGCCCTGAGTTCAAGCCCCAGTACCACAAGAAAAAAGGAAAGCAATATACAGTGAGAATATATGAAAGGAATATGCTAGTGAGAGTTAATGTTTACAGCTGGCACCGATGGCTCCGTAATCCTAGCTACTTGGGAGGATAAGATCAGGAGGATGGCAGTTCAAGGCCAGTCCAGGCAAATAGTTCATGAGATCTCATCTTCAAAATAACCAGAGCAAAATGGACTGGAGGTGTGACTAAAGCAGTAGAGCACTGCTTTGCAAGCACAAAGCCCTGAGTTCAAACCCTAGTCCCACCAAAAAAAAATGTTTCAATGTAGTGATTAAATATAAATTTAAAGATGTCAATAAATTAATGAGAAAACATGTAGATCAAAATACAGAAATATTCAAGGAATATGAATTAGATTCTCCAAAAGAGTAAGTACAGTTTATCAACAAGCAAATTAAGTTTATATTTCCTCATAGCCAAGATAATGCAATAAAGCTTTATTTTAAAACTGTTGTTGAAGAAGCAGTCGTATTATCTAATTGCATTTAAAGGTTGGATAAAACTTACATTTAATTATGGTTTTGATATATAGATAGAGGTTGGGTTGCATTTTGCCAGTGATTTACCAAGATTCTTGAATATTCATGCCCTGTGGCCCAAGAAGTTAATCTAATATCTATCCAGCATAATGAAATAACTCAAAGTTTAGGAAGAAACCCCTGTATATAAAATATAAAGTTTTTTTGTGATGGAAAAAAATTGGAAACATCCTAAATGTTTACCCATAATTAAAGCATGTTTATTGAAACACTATGTGGTTATTTTAAAACATGAAGTCTATACAGAAAAAAGTGTGATACGGTGGTTATGACATAATAAAAATGAATTGTCAGAATTAGAACTATTTTAGATTTATGTATGCCTAAGTAAAAAGAAAAAGAGAATACAGTAATAAAAATGAAACTATCTTAACATATGATTTTGTATTTTCTTCTTTTGATAGTTTATGAGATACACGTTTAAAATTAAAACAAAACTGTCAGAAATTGGCTTCACAAGAAAAATTTAAAGGGCATATATTTCTCTATATTTTTGACAAATATTTGAGTCAGAATGATCAAAAGAATGCTCAATGTTGTGTTCTATTGTAGGTATTACCTAGTGTAGATATTGACAGCATTTCATACAGCAGTGCTGATGGTGGTTCCCTGTTGCCTAGTCCCAAAGAAGCCTCTCTTCCTCCTTTGCACACCTGGATTCAGGTAGATGTCAGAGTTCTATCATATTGTTTTAATGTTTAAATGTCTGACTGCCATTATTCCATAAAAAGCTTTCTATCAAACCATAATCTACTGTAGTAATTTAGGTTTTTGAAGAAAAGTTCAAAATGAATCTCAAATTGTTTATGTACTTGAAAAAGAAAGTTTGTTTCAGATCTTTATATTTATAAATATTCAGAACTCTTATTTAAGTAACTTTCAGGTAACTTAAGTTGTTAGACTCTTGTATGTGAAAAAAGAATTTCCCTCTCTTTTGTAAACAATCTTTGCTTTACATGAGAATTACAGATTTTTTGAATTTGAGTTTTCTAGTAACAATAGAGTTTATATATGGGGATATTACACTGTCATACTTTTGTTACCATGCAAAAATATACATCTCTTGTGCTTGCTTCAGCAGCACATATACATATGTGTGTATATATCTTCCTGTTATTTATTTGCTTCTGAATAATGAAGTTATAGCTTTTACTGTAGCAAAGTACCACTGTAACTTGTCTCACGTTTTATCTTTTGTAAGCAAATTTGGTCATTGAAGGTCAGTTTTAAAGAGAAAACACCAATAATCTCTCATAATTACAAATAATAAAATAGACTGACCCTAAGTAGAACTCATGCCTCATTTAACTTTTCATCAGTAATTTTGTTTTCATCAGAAGTTTATAGAAACATTAATAAAAATGCATTTGGGATTTTTTATCATTCTACTCTTAGTGAGAGGCTGTTATGGTTTTTGGTGACTAGATTTTATATAGCAAGGCCCATGTATTAAATTTGTGAAATGACTATTTTTTTTAAATTATTTGATTCTTTTTGTGATTTTGTGTTTGTGTATACTTACATGGCTAACATACAAAAATACTTTATCTTAACTATAGCAGCTAAATCATGATCCTATTAACCTGTTGATCAACTGACTTAAGTTGCATTTATTGTTGGAGTCCTATAAATATTAATTTTTGATACTTATATTTAATATTTTAAAGAAATAATTTTTGTAGCTATTGAAATGATGACCTAATTCCTTAGGGACTAGTGGATCTCATTTACTAATTTAATAAATTCTGAACAGGATACTAAAATAAAAAATAGGGCTATGTGATTATAAGTTTATACTATATGTGGAAATGTGATAAATTATATGTAAATTTTTAAAAGTTGATAACAACCAAAACTTTCCGAAAATGTTATTTCTTTAGACTCCAGAATTTGTGAAGGTGGATGAAGAAGAAGTGAAGTTTCCAGGAACTAATTTTGATGAAGTAATTGATGTTATACAGGTAACAAAGATTAGAAACCATGAGAAGTTATTTTTCTACCAATATTTTTCTAGGTGGTTGAATACCTTTGGACTATCAATATTGTGCTATAGTGCTTTGAGAAACTCACTTTTACTTCTAAGTTAATTATACTTTTATTTTAAAAAATTACAAAGTTTTCGTCATCACCTTGCACCTCCATGCCACTTGTATCTTATCTTGCCTGCTTCATTTCTTCTTTCTTTCCATTTCTTTTGGTTGCCTTGTCCTCTATCTGTCCATTCTTCATTCTATTACATTTATGTCTTGATTTCTGGAGTAGTGGCAAAGTCATCACTTAGTTTATATTGAGAGAAAAAAATGTGTATAGTCCAGAATTCACAGGAATGTCCTGTATGGAAGGCAGAGTTATAGAAATGATAGAAATAATAAAGCAGGAGGGGAAAAAGGAGGAAATGAACTATGATGACAGGAGGAAAGATCACAGAACATAGAAAATACTTGAATATTAATGTCAATAGACTTTAGAGAATATTTTTCACTTTTGTTTGACTTTGAGCTAAGACTAGTTTTATTAATCAAAAAATGAAATCTTAATTTTAGAATGTGCAGAGGTATGCAATATGTCAGTCTTATCTGCTCACAGATATTTCTTCTTAGGTGAATGCCACATGAGTTTTTCTATTCCTAATGCCCAGCAAAGATCTTTAATAAAACTGGTTATCTAGGGCTGGCTGAGTAGCTCAAGTAGTAGAGCACCTTTCTTGCAAGTTCAAGGCCCTGAGTTCAAACTCCAGTACTGCAAAATAAAAAAAGCTGGTTATTTAGATTTTAAAGACAAGGGTTCCTACTCCAGCTCTGCCACTTACTACCTGAGGACTTCATTTTTTGATAAGATATTAATGAATTATGATATTTAAAGGCTGAACTTTTTGAGATATGTATTGAATTGTAAAATGATACATTTGTGGTTTACTTCAGAATGATATGTACAGGGGAAATCGATGGAGGAAGGGCAGTTTACATGATAGAATTAACCACAAGTTGAAAATTGTTGAAGTTTGAAACCAGATAAATACAATTCATGTTATTTATATATAACATATAGTACATGGGAACTATTTTGTTTATTTTTAAATGTCTATGGCAGTTTCATAATAAAATGTTAAAATTCCTGAAATAAATTTTGAGCATAATATGATCATGAAAAATAATGAGTGAAGTGATCTAACTGCATATTTACATGTAAATTATAGGTTGTGTTAGAGCAAAGAATGTGTTTTGAAATACTAGTTTTTATGATAATCAACTCAAATTTCTAAAGGGAAATAAATGTTAGTAATGTTTTATTCAGGAATGATCAAGTTTTCTAGTTTGTTTACTGACTATAGTGTGTGTGTGTTGTGTGTGTGTGTGTGTGTGTGTATGTATGAGAGATATGGATGAACCCATATCCTAACACGTGCTAGGCAAGTGCTCTGTCACTGAACTACACTTCCAGCCCAAATATTGGGTTTTAAAGACAAACTAATTGTGTAATTGAGGTTTCTGTAATTGTAACATACATGATTAATATGTATGTTATAGTTAATGTAATACTGCCTAATTAGAAATACTGTTAATTTCAAAGTGTTGGTTAATTCATCTAGCTAAGTTCCTCCTTACAGTTGGCATTTAGTAAATGTTGAAGAAATAAGTGAATATAATAGTTTTTTTTTATTACCAGGAAGAAGAACAATGTGATGAAATTCCAGAATATTCTGAACCAATGCTGGAGTTTAACAGAAGTGTTAACATTGTTTCTACAAAATATAATGGTCCTCCATTTCCTCCCATTGTTTCTGCATTTCAGCCTACTACTGATGTTCTGGATAAAGTAATTCAGAGAAAAGAAACACTGGAAAATAGTTTAGTTCAGTGGTGAGTTTGCAATGGTATTGGTATGATTAGAATCATAGTAGCAAATATAAACAGAAAGTACTAAATTTTAGTTGAAAAACTTCCTTGTCTTTATTAGTTTATTAAACTGTTCCTTTGTGGAAAATCACTGGAAACTATTTGATGTAATGCCAAGGGCATAACTAACTATTGGAAGTATTGTTTTGCCCATGAATATTTGTTTTTAGGCTATCTTCTAGTGCAAAAGAGGCTGCTATTGAGTAACAGAATATTTAGGATACTAACAATGTAATTTCAGCATGTAAGACCTCAAAATGAATGTGCACAGAACAAAAGCTTTAAAAATATATATACCAGATTGTTACCTCTGTGTATCCCTGAACCAAGGTTTAAAGTTTATATATATTTTCTGCATTTTCAGCAATCAACGTCTACCATTGTATAAGAAGAATTTTTAAGGAGACTACTAGCTGCTCTAAAGAAATGTACCAAAAGAAGTCTCCTATTCTGTTCCTCTTTTCCTTTCCTTTCCTCTTCCCTTCCTGAAATGACCTTGAAAATAAATTTTGTTTCCTTTTTAAGAAGAAAACTATCCTATATTGCACTCTATGTATTTATTTCCCTGAAAGAGGGCAATTGGCCTTTTTTCTCACTCTTACCTGATACGGTTTTGTATGTATGCTCTGAGTATAAATCAAAACTGTTATACTCATCATGTGCCAGATAATCTTATTTTAGATTCAGGGGTTCTGTTAAACTTTCATTAGACTAATATGAAAGATTTCAATTTGATTTCATGATCCATTTCCCACAATGAGATTCTGTTTCATGTGGTTGACCTTGTTAGAAGATAGTTTTTTCTTTCCACATGTAACTTTCAGATGACTTCTTTCATATATAAATGTTTGTGCCCATAGGTGAAGTTTATTTTTAAGGACGAGATTTATAACATTTTATACATCTCAACCAAATTTAGAAATTCTTAACTTTATCTCTTCAGGGTAGAACAAGAAATAATGTCAAGAATTATCTCTGGGTTCTTTCCAGTCCAGCAACAGGCCAGACTTAATGCCAGTGTTTCAGTCAGTGAGGCAAGTAAAGCATCAACTTCTGACATTGGTAAGTTAAAATTGTTGTTATTAAAAAAAAACAAACAAAAAAACCCGTTAGTTCATTGTGAATTTATATACCCCAGATGTTCTACCTCCTTATTCTATATTGCAGCTTTCAAGTTATTAAGCCACTTCCTGTCCTACTTTCTAACTCTATTAATCATCATATTACTTTATATACACGCATGTATATTTGATATATAATTATCTGATAGTAATATGCTTAGTTTGCATATCTTTTTTTTTTGTTTGCATATCTTTCTTACTCTCTAGATAGACTAATTACTCAGGCTTAAAGGTGTTTCTTTGTGCCTAGCCCTTAACACCTAGTAAGAGTTTAAGTGTTCATTGAATGGTTAAATGAGCCTCTTTGTTAAGGAGCCCTTGTGATTCTTCTCTCTCATTCTCCCTTTTCCTCTTCCTTCTCCTCTTCTTTTACCTCCTCCTCCTCCCTCTTCTCCATTAGCCTTTTTGAGATTATAATTTACTTACCTTAAAATTCAACCAATTCTAAGTGTACAGTATTTTGACAATACATAAAGCAAGGCATTAGCCACATAATCATGATGTGGATTTTGATTATCCCCCAAAGTTCCCTTATGCCACTTTGCAAATTATACCTAACTTCACCCTGCCCGTGGTCCCTTACAACCACGGATCTGCTGTCTAGTACTGTATTTTAATATTTTCTAGATTTCATGCATCTATAAGCATACAAAATAGAGTTTTTTTATTGGCTTATTTAGCATAATGCTTTGACAATCATGTAGTATTATGCCTTATGGATATATTATAATTTATTAATCCATTTACCAGTTGATGAACATTTATAGTCTTTTAGTTCTGGGATATTATAAATAAAGCTGCTAAGAACATTTGCAAGAAATCTTTGTGTAGACGCATCTTTTAATTTCTCTTGGTCATATGATATAATAAAATGTTTATAAGAAACTGCTAAGTTGGGCACATCAGTCACTCGTGCTTGTAATCATAGATACTCAGAAGGAAGAGATCAAGAGGATTGGGGTGCAGCCAGGGGAAATAATTTACAAGACCTTGTCTCAAAAATACTCAGCACAAAAAAAGGGCTGGTGGAGTAGCTAAAGCAGTAAGAGCACCTCCCTAACAAGCATGAGGCCCTGAGTTAAAACACCAGTGCCAGAAAAAAAAAAAAAGAAACAAGAAACTGCTAAATATTTCCAAAGTGGGTGTACCATTTGTGTGCATGAAAGTTCCAGTTGCTCCACATCTGCACCAATATGTGGTGGTGTCACTGTTTTTATTCTAGGCATTCTGATCATATATGGAGATGTCTCATTGCGGTCTTTATTTGCATTTCCTTAATTATACTGCCTAAGTAATATACTACTAATGGTGACTACTATGCAAATTTTTATGTGTTTATTTGTCATTTGTATATTTACTTTGGTGAAATATTTCAAGTGTTTTGCTCATTTTTACTGAGTTCTAATGTTCTTTATTCTGGATGCAGGTTCTTTATTAGATATGTGTTTTTGCAGATATGTTCTCCTAGATTCTGTCAGTGCTGGTGATTGAACCCAGAGCTCATGCAAGTGCTCTACCACTGAACAACACTCAACCCCAAGAGTGAAATGTGTCTTGCTTTTTGCTTTCTCAGCATTATCTTTGGAAGACAAAAGATTAATTCTGATGAAGTCTAATTGATTAATTTTTTCTTTATAGTTTGTGGAATTATTTTGGACACACTGCTTAAGCAGTAATTTGCCTAAGCCTAACTCAAGATCATTAAGAGTTTCTCCTATGTTTTCTTGTAAAAGGTGTGTGGTTTTAGATTATGCTTTTAGGTTTATGCTGGGAATCAAGCACTCTACCACTGATCACCATCCCCAGCTCTATATGGTATATTTTGAGCTAAATTTTATATATGATATGAATGAAGTAAGGATTCAGGGTTTTTCTTGGCACATGGATTTTCAATTGGCTATAAATGTGTGGATCTGTTTCTGGACTTTGTGTGTGTGTGTGTGTGCATGTGGTGTGGGGGTTGAACGCAGGGTCTCATGATTGCTACTTGAAAAAATTATTTTCAAGTTTCTATGTTTTGTCTTCTTTTCCATTTTTCCAGTTTGCTTGTACCCTTAGTTATCCTATGTCAGCTGATGGCAGCTAAGCTATGTATCTAGACTGAAAAATGACAGTTATGCCTGTTGAATATTCTACTTGATGCTCCACCAGCATCCCAAATTTGGCATGTCCAGTATGAATCTCATTTTTGTAACCAAAACTGCTCTTCCTTTCTTCTTTGTTTCTCTTAATGGTATCAGTTTTCCCATTCCCCAAAGTTTTAGCATTATTGTTGGTTCTATTTTCTTTTCTTTGTTCTTCTTCAGTTCCCTGTCAGCCACAATCTACATCACAGCTACATACACTTTGTTGTTGCATTTGACTAATTCTTCCTATTTAGTATACCTCACACCCATCCTTCTACTGCTACTATCTTAAGTTTTCTTTCATCATCTCATTTTTTTCAAGGAAGGAAAAAAAATAACCAAGTTAGAAGAAAATCTAGGTTTTTCTAGGTGAAAATTTTCAAAATGAGAATTTAGATTCTATACTGTTCTCTGTAAAAGCTTGTAGTTTTGCTTTTGTTTTTCTAATGTCTGAGGAGGGCTTTTGGGCTTTATGACAAATAGGTTCTGATTTTTGGTCATGCCAAAACAATGAATTATGGAAACTTAAAGGATGTATTTACATATTTTGTCAAACCTAAGTTACCATCAATTGTACTAAAGAAGTACTCTATGGAGAGACTGCAACCCCACTGGGTTTACAGATCATTGTTCACATATTTCTACACAGAGCTTTAGAAATATCACTTTGAGTTCAGTAAAGTCCCTAACAGAAGTTTTACTTAATTTATGTACATTCATGTAAGTAAAAAGTACAACCTATTGGAAAAATAATAGACCTAGAGCGTCTAATAACAGGCACCTAACCTGCTGTAAATGTTGAATGAGGCTTTGCATTTTCATTTTTGTTCTTCCTTCCACACCCATATTCATATATATTAGTATCTCTAAAATTTTAAGAATTAAGGTTTGTATTGAAGACCATTTCTTGCCTACTTACAAATCTTAAATTTTTTAGTGGAAGGAACAAGCAGTGGTGCTCTTCAGCTTTTTGTTGATGCTGGGGTTCCTGTGAATTCAGACATGGTTAGCCATCTTGTGAATGAAGCTCTTGCTGAGACCATAGCTGTCATGCTGGGTGACAGAGAAGCAAAGAAGCAAGATCCTGTTGCTACAAGTGTTTCTGGTGATATTTCAACAAATGAAACATACTTGCCGGTAGGAGTGATTCTCCTTTCCTGACTTAAGAGTTCTGGGAAATTTTTGATATGTTTATCAAAGAATGGTAAAATAGATAATTTTAAACTGAAAATCATGAGCTCAAGTTTGCGGTAGAAAGGAATGTAATATATTCCTTGATGCTATAATTAAAGTAACATTTTACCTAGCATTTTATTTTTGGAATTTTAAAATCTACAGAAAATTTGAAAGTACAGCAAGACTGACTTATTCACAGACTTAGTACATGTGTTTTGACCAAGCATGGTTAAAAAAAATAATCAAAAGAAATTTCAAAAGCAAAATTTTTAAATTTCTGCTACTCAGCTCGGTTGATAGGGAGAAGCCCTCAGTCATTCCCACCTTATCATCAGTTATTTTTAAATTCCTATGTGAGCTTATGAGTGTTTCCCTGCCCTTTATTTTGTGAAATTCTGCTTCCCCCCAAAAAATGGTGCCCCCAAAAGCTAGGTAAAAGTTACTGGGCTTAATTGAAGGATCAAATGAAAATTTGAGCTTTGAAAGTACATGTCTTTAGCAGAAGTTAGGTAGCAGCATTATGAAAAAATGAACCAAGACTCTGTAATTCAGTACTGACCTCTCTACATCCAGAGCATGTGCAGTTTTTCTCAACTATGGGTTCCTGAAACCTCATACCTGCAAAACCTGTTGTGTACTGTGTGATACACAGAATATCTTTACCCCCACTTCACTACTGATACCATGTGGGCATACTTTAATATCTCACTTTGTACCTGCTATAAATATTATGTTGTATATATATATATATATATACACCAGTTGAAAGTTGGAGACATCATGATTCTTTACCTCAGACGCATAGGCAGTATCACTTGAGAACAAGAAACTGCTTTACGTAACTAATACATTCTCATGCCTCCAAATTTACATGGAAATGTCAATAACATAAATAGCAGAGACCATGTTCAGATTTCCCAGCTGTCTTTTGTGATTCATGTTATAGCCAAAGATCTTAGGTTGCTTTAGGTTATTATCTAAACTGATGTTTTGAATCTTTAAAAGAAAATATATCTCAGGTACTTTTATAGTGTGTTTGATCAGTCTTAAATATGTTAAATAAAATTTATATTCCATTAGAGCAGCATGAAATTATACAAATCCAAAGCTTATATTTCTGTTTAAAACTCTATAGGCACTTCTGGGCCTATGAATTAAAAAGACATCATTTTATATAGGTGAAACATTTAAACCGATCCATTTCATGTGTGAACATAAAGTTGTATATTTGACTTTTGTAGAGGTTGGTGTGGTTAATGTAATTATTGTGTCAATATCTGTGCTCTATTAACTCCTTGGCAACTATGCCTGTAGTATGATGTGGTCAGGGTCGGTGGTTTCTAATGGTTCATGTCCTGATGAGGGTAGGTGAATGAGAAAACTTGGAAAAACAAGTACAAATAGGCAGTCTACGAGCAACTATTAAGAGCAAGGACTTTGGAGGTGATAAGACTTGAATTTGATTCTTCACCTCTATACTTTAGTCCTTTCTGTATAATAGAAATAGAATACTTACTTAACAGTTTAAGTGACACTGACTTTGCCAAAATCTGCTTACTGAATATCTGGTAGGGCAAACCTTCCCTAAGTTTTGTTTCTTCAGAATTGTCATGGCTTTTCTTGACCTTTTGACCTATGTAACATTTTGGCCAAATACATTTAAAATTAGTTTTTTGGATTTTTAGTTTTTGTTTGTTTGTTTTTAAGATGAGGATTCACTGTATTGGCCATACTGGCTTCCAACTCTTGAACTCCTGGGCTTAAGGGATCCTCCTGCCTGAGTCTCTCCAAAGTAGGACTACAGGCTCATAACTCCATGCTCTACTCTTTAAAATTATTTATTTATTTATGAAGTTTGGACTTGGGGCCTTGCACTTGCTAGGCAAGAGCTCTAGGGCTTAAAGCATGCTCCAGACCTTTACGTTTTAATTTGTTTTATAGATAGGCTCTTGCGCTTTTGCTGGGCAGGCATTAGATTTCAATCTTCTTACCTCTGCCCCCTGAATACCTGGGATTACAGGTGTGACCCACCATACCCATTTTTTTTTTTTGTGATATTGGGGTTTGAACTCAGGGCCTCATGCTTGCTAGGCTGGTGCTCTGCTGTGTGAGCCACTCCACCAGCCTCCAGCTTATTTTATTGAAATAGGGTCTCACAACCCTTTTTCTTTTTTGTTTTTCTTTTATTATTCATATGTGCATACAAGGCTTGGGTTCACAACCCTTTTTCTGACGCAGTTTTTAAGTTCCATTAAAAAAATCTTTCTGTGGCCATGTGCAGTGACTTATATCTGTAATCTCAGCTATCCCATAGGCATAGATTGGTAGGATTACAATTCCAGGCCAGGCCAGGAAAACAGCTATTGACACCCCATCTCAAAAATAAGCTGAATGTGTTGTTTCAAGTGTATGATCCCAACTAGGCAGGGGGCTATAGGTAACGGGATCACAGTCTAAGGTTGGCCCTTTCTGAAAACAACTAAAGCAAAAAAGAGCTGAGGTGTGGCTCAAGTGGTAGAGTACCGCCCTAGAAAGAATGAGGCCCTGAATTCAAACCCCAGTACTGCCAAAAGAAAAAAAAAAGAATCTTTCTAGGACTTTTATGGAATTAATCTAATTTTTATTTGCCTAATTTGGGAAGGATTGAGGTCTTCATGGTACTCATAAGGTTTTATGAAAGACCTTAATCTAGTGTCTGGAACTTGGTAAAATAGTCACTAATAGTTTAACCTCATCATTATCCATTACCAGTACTAGAATAATACCTTGAAATCCTCTTATGATGAATTTCCAGTGGCATTATATAGAAACAACCTTTCTATGCTCTAAGTTTATATAGTCAAGAAGAGAAAAATAAAACTGTATTTCTTTCATTTTAATTTTTTTGGTAGGTCTGGAATCTGAACTCAGGGCTTTGCATTTGTCAGAACCCAACCCTCTTTCATTTATAAAATGAAAGTTAAGAATATGCTAATTACTAAGCAATGTGACAAAATTACTCATGTTTCCTCATTTAAATTATACATTAATTTACAACTCATAATACAGAATAAAGCCTACTCATCTAACAGATAAAGGCTTTTTAAAATGAAAAAAGGCAAATAATGCACTTTAAATGGGCAAAGGACATGACAAGACAGTATACACAAAAAAAGTACAAATTGCCCATATACACATAAAAAATGGTCAGCCTCACTGATAATAAGAAAAACAATTCACTGAAATTCCATTTTCACTGATCAGATTGTCAAAACTCTCAAAGTTTGATAATGCTTTTGTTGGCAAATTTGGGGGAAATCGGCATTCTCATACCTTCTGGAAGCAATATAAAATTGTACAGTCCTGTAGAGAGAAATTTGGCAACATCTATTCAAGTTAAAAACACGATTAGGAGCACCCTTTCTTGGGACCCCTCCCAGCTCTGGGAGCTCTGTTCTTTGCTACTTTTCTCTCAATAAATTCTCCCCAACCACAATTAGCTCTTTAAGCAGTTCCATTTCTTTAATTAGGCAGTTCCACTTCTTTGTATTTATCCCATTGCTAAATCTGTATACATATGAAATGACTTACTTAAGTCAAGATTGTTTGATAATTCTGAGGAAGGGAACTAGGTAGAAAGTACATAGGTAGAAAACTTAATTTTCACTATCATGTGAAAAGTTTATATCTTCAAACTTTTGAACCATTTATGATAACCATTTCTTTCCCAAGCGCTTTCCATCTCAGTATTATATTTATCTCTCCCTGCCCCTGCTTTTTCTTATCCTTCCATTACTTTTTGCACACTTTTGCTTTGTGCTAAAAGGCTGATTTTTTTTATATGAAATTCTTCCCTTCTGTTGTATAGCCTATCCAACAGGTTTAAAGATGGATTTGATCCTCAGCTGTATCTGTTTGATCTTCCTCTCCATATTAAAAGAGGGTTACTGAGATTTACTTGGGACCTACTTCAAAGCAGCTATTTTAATTACCCAACAGTTTCCTCATGCCTATCTAGGAGCTAAATATTTATGAGCCAGGGAATTGGAGACTCCTTTTTTGTTGTTGTTATTTTGCCCATTCATTTAAATTCTACATAGTCCATGGATGAGCTCAATATTATTGTTTTCACATTATTTTTGTTTGCGCGATTATATATACCATTTGTCTTATTTTACTAATTTATTTTAGGCACGAGTGTGTACCCCAGTGGCTACCCACAGCCTACTCCTCCTCGCTCACCTTCATCACTTTCTGAGGAGCGCGTGTTAGTAAAACTCCAGATTTTCTCCCTGTGTTCAGATAATAATGTGGCTTTTCCTGTGAAAGAAATATTTGCTGAAAAAGGTAGAACCCTCATTTCTATAACTCATTTTTAATTTTAACAACTATTAAATAAAATTTCATGGTTTGTCTTACAAGGTGTTTTAGATTACATATAGTTATTACTTACTAGGTTTTATATATAATTTTTCTTGCAAGGAAACTAAGGAATTGGTTTCCACTTGACCATTTTATATTGCTATAACAGAATGTCACAGACTTGGCAATTTATAAAGAATAGAAATTTACTTCTTACAATTCTGGAGGCTGGGAAGTCTTCATGTCCTCATCTAACCCTAATTAGCACCCAATGGGCCCACCTCCAAATACCAACGTGGATTTGGGGGTTACGTTTTAACACATGAACTTTCAGAGGAGAAACAGTCACACTATAGTACCACTTCTGATCTCATAGATACTTAGGCTGCTCTAAGTATATGTTAATTTTAACTGCTTTCAAAATTATTTTTCTTATACTGTTCTAAACTAACTTTTAATTCTCTAACAGCCACTACCATCATCGTTATTATTATCATTGCCATCATTTTAAGGCAATCAAAGAAAATTTGAGGCTATCTGAAGCAATATATATTGCCCTTCCTATGGAGCTGTTTGCTGACTTTTATGTTTTTCTCTTTTATTATTTTTTTATTTTATTTTTTTTCATTTTTCTTTTATTATTCATATGTGCATACAAGGCTTGGTTTATTCTCCCCCCTGCCCCACCCCTCCTTACCACCACTCCACCCCTCCCGCTCCCCCCCTCAATACCAGCAGAAACTATTTTGCCTTATCTCTATTTTGTTGTAGAGAGAGTATAAGCAATAATAGGGAAGGAACAAGGGGTTTTGCTGGTTGAGATAAGGATAATACAGGGCATTGACTCACATTGATTTTCCTGTGCGTGGGTGTTACCTTCTAGGTTAATTCTTTTTGATCTACACTTTTCTCTAGGTTCCTGGTCCCTTTTCCTATTGGCCTCAGTTTGCTTTAAGGTATTCTGCTTTAGTTTCTCTGCATTAGGGCTAAAATGCTAGCTAGTTTTTTAGGTGTCTACTATCTCACCTCCTCCGGCTTGTGTGCTCTCTCGTTTATATGTGCTCATAGTCGCAATCCCCTGTTGTGTTTGCCTCTGATCTTAATCGTCCAATATGAGGGAGAACATATCGATTTTTGTCTTTGAGCCGGCTAACTCACTCAGAATGATTGTTCTCGAATTCATCATTTACCAGCGGAATGATAACATTTCGTTCTTCCTTCATGTGCTATAAAATTCCATGTGTATAGATACACATTTTCTTAATCCACTTGTCAGTGCGGGGCATCTTGGCTGTTTCATAACTTGGCTATTGTGATAGTGCCGCATATAAACATATGCGGCTGTGCAGGTGCGCCTCTGAAGTAACAGTCTTTTGGGTTATAATTCCCCAAGAGTTGGTATTGCTGGATCAAATGGTAGATCGATGTCCAGCTTTTTAAGTAGCCTTCCTATAATTTTTTTCCAGAGTGGTTGTACTAGTCTAAGCATTCGCAGCAACAAGTGTAAGAGGGGTTCTTTTTCCCCGCATGCCTGAGCGCAACACTGTTGTTGGTGGTGTTGCGGATGATGGCTATTCTAACAGGGGTGAGGTGGAATTTTAGTGTGGTTTTAAAATTTGCATTTCTTTTATTGCTAGAGATGGTAGAGCATTTTTGCATGTGTTTTCCTGGCATTTGAAATTCTTCTTTTTTTGAGAAGTTTGTTTAGTTCACATCCCATTTTTTATTGGTTCATTAGTTTTGGGAGAATTTAGTTTTTTAAGTTCCTGTATAATTCTGTTGTTTTTCTTCTTTTAAAAAGGCTTTAGGAAAATGATATGCCTGCATACAACTTAGTTTATCATCCTTCATGACCCTGTACTTCACCTCCTCTGCAGCGCTCTTACGCCAACTTTATCAAGAGATTTCCATCTGATAAATTGAGAATTTCAAAACTCCAGAGCTTCCAGCCATGGATATGGAAGACTGCCCTGGACGATAGAGAATCCCTAACTCTCTTGAAGAAGAACTTCTCATCAGAGCTATGTAAAGAGACCATAACAGTTGCTCATCTGTATCTAGGAGAATTGGTTCTAGAAAGTCCCCCTGCAAAATTCAACAATACTCTAAAGTCCCTTGTAAAAATTCATTGTTTTGCATATAATCTATGCATATCTCTCATATAATGTAAGTCTTCTCTAGATTATTTGTAATACTACATCCAATACATGCCATGTAAAGAAAAGTTGTTGTACTTTATTGTTTAGTGAATAATGATGAGAAAAAACTTTAGATGCATATTTTTTTTCTAAATATTTTTTGTCATTGAATCCTGGTTGTAGAACTCAAGGATATGGAGGGCCAGCTATATTCACTTTCAGTAACAAAAATTTAGGCTTAATGTTTAACTTATATAAACCATGGAACACAGAAATGATAAGCAAAGCTTTTGTTGTTTGTTTTTTGCAGTGCTGGGGTCAAACAGTGCCTTGTGCATGTTAGTCAAGCATGCTACGCACTGAGCCTTATCCCCAGTCCACACTATGCTTTAGAAGAAAGAAATTTTACGAAACTGAAGTTTTTAAATTTTTTTGAAAATTTTTTATTTATACCTTTACCTCATTTTAAAAGGTTTGAAAAGGGATTTTAATAGAGACAGAGGTCAGACTGTTGCTAGAAAATGATTTTTCCCTAGTGTGCATTACCATTTGCTAAATATCCCATGTAGATTTATTCTGTGGCTAAGAGCTTCAAGGTTGCCTATGACTAAAGCATAAAAGCTGTTTTAGAAAATTAATCTTGCTAATTAATTGTAGTATAGATCATAGAATAATTGCTAAAGGACATAGTACCTTTGAATCTGTTTTTTACATAAAAATGAATATGGGCCTTTAGTGACTTATATAAATTCAAAATTTGTCTTTATCTTCTTAGTGTAATGTCTGTGGCTAAGGATGAAGAACCTGAGAGTTGGACTTCCTCTCAGCCTGCACCCCAGAATCAATTCCCTTTACGCCATTTCTTGCGGGTACCAAGGCCCCTTCCCCACTTCATGTGACAAGTTCTGTCATCACACTGAGAGTACTTTGAGCGTTACTGTCACTGAAACAGAAATTTGGATAGACCCATCTCTGAAGAGGATTTTATTTAGCTGTGGTCAAAAATTGGCTCCCAAAAGTAAGTTAAATATATTAATTAATTTCACGGTTATATTATGATAAATTCCTTAGCAATATTTCTCTGTTTGCAAGTGTTTTTGCTTCAGTTTGAAGACCTTAACATGGTACTAATAGACAGAATAGGGGCTTTGTGTAAGTTGTTAACATTTTTGGGCTCTAATTTTGGAAAATAAATTCTCTCCATAATCCTACTATATAATTATTAATCATGAATAGTTTTGAAAGTATATCGCTTCTATCTATGTAGAACCCTAAATCACATACATAATGTGTATGTATATTTGCCTTTAAAATAGGATCATA